GAATCTGCTTAAGTTGAAATATATTTTCAATATCCCAAGAATTTATTCTGTTTGACACTTTTCCATTCCAAGACAAATCTGAATATTGAGTCCATAGTGAGTTCAAAATGTATTCTTAACTTTGATAACATTTTTTGAAATATGAAATCGTTATCTTGACATTAGTCTTGAGTTTACTTTGAAGATCACACGATGCCTCGGTGTACATATGAGGGATTTAGCAAACTTCATTTGTTGATATGTCAAAAGTGAAAGATTGGGAAATAATGTTGAGAGTATATAGAGCGAGTGGAATTGCGGTCTAAATTTAGGCTGATTGTGTTAAGTGTCTGACTACCCTGAGCTCATATACTTCATTCTTTATATACTCTGATCAAAACAAACCAGAAACCATCTTACAGTTTACCATTTAACCAATCAGAGCATACCATGGATTTAATCCTATCATACATACCATATATGGAAATCATGCCTTAACAATAACCAGTATTTTGGCTAGCAAAGTTCAGAGATTGAATGATGATGTTAGGAGTATAAAAGTTGGTATCCACTCTAAAAAGGGTATGCGAACTGTCTGCCATCTTCTTTGGGAATTCTCGCTTCCATGATAGGATCATAGTATTCTGTTTTCCAAAATTTGAATTTGAAGTTTCCCTTCATCTGGGAATTTCTTGATTTTTGCCCTTTGAGAGATGATGATATTGATAATGGTAACTATAGTAACATGTTGTGACATTTCTGATTTGATTTTTGTATATTTTAGCCCAATGAGAGTTCTTAACTGTTTTTTGCTGGTTTCTGTTACTATGAAAACCAACTGCAACATTAAGAGAGTGGGTTGTAACTTCCCCATATTGAGGGGGTGGAGGCAAACAGTTTGTGTACATGTATTTACACACACTCTGTGTTGTCTTAACATTCAAAGGGAATCAATATAGATGTAAAAAAATTCCGATGTTAAGGTATATTATTTGTGTGGCAAGAGCATAAGATGTTTTTCTCTGTTGCACATCTTGAGGTATTGACCAGTGCTATTATTTATCATTTATAGGTCCCTTGGCGATATGTGATGAGTGGTACCAAAAGAGATGGCTATTAAAAGACTTTGTTCTTGAGTGCCGAGGAGGAAATCATTTGATCATTGCTGCCATATCGGAAACTCTTTCAAGAGTTATGGCTCAAAATACATGATAAATTGCCGTAAAAATGTTCCAATAAATGCTCTAGATTGATACGGGTATTAAATGATCTTGGATACATATTGCAGCAAATTGAGACTTGATTGACATTCCGTACAAATAGCATCTTACTTTACGGATCTCCAGAGTCTTAAAGGATGTCACGGTAAACCCCCATGTTCCTACTTCATTACGGCTTCACTCAAACAAGTAACAACCTTAAGACCAACGACAAATGAAAAATATGTTGAGACTTCTATCTTGTGATGTAATTAATTTGTCTTGTCGGAACATTTTTCCGTTTCTTTATCGTACAAATGAGGTTGAAATAATCACATTGCTTGAGTAGATAATGTTGAGAGGGTAACAAGTACATTTGACATTGCTACTTATATCTGAATTTTGAGTCAATAAGTGAATCCCTTCCCCTACTTTTGAAGGTGACTTCACCCCCATCCGATTTGTAGTCTAGTGAAATCTATATCCCCGTGCATTCATCTAGACACCATGTCTCTTTTTTCTGGTTATTATACCATCACAAGTGGTAATATTTTGTTCTAGTCTCAACTTTTTTGTGGACAGTGTAGGCATCTGGTGTCTGTAGCATGGCATCTGTAGCAAATAGCAGGTAGTGAGATTTTGCATGTCGATGTCTTGTTAAATATATCCCCATACTTACCTGCCATACTCCAATATATTTATTTTTTTCAATAAATACAACTTAAGGTTAAGAATTTATAGATTCAAGAATGAAAATCAAAATATATACATGTACTAAATACATGCATTAACCTTTAAAGAACTCATTAATTGCATATTGTTTCATATTTGCAAGTTGGCAAGAAAGTTGAGACATATTTGTGATATATTTGAAACTGTTTTACTTCATGAATATTGATTCGTTTCAATCATCTGATGTTTTGCGGTTTGTTATTACTGCAAATCCAATAAATGGCCTATTACCAACCCCTGTGATAGAATTGTCCCACTTAATAGCAGAGTATTTACATATCAATGTGATCTATTGATTGTACATATCGGTAGATATCCCTGGGACCAACCTCACTAAGAATATATCTTAAACTCCGATAGATCAATCTCAAAATTCTCGCGTAACAGATTAAAAAAAGTTGCCATATTTGTATGGCTTTGATAATAATATTGCCAAATTAAATCATGTAAATATTAGAAAACATTTTAAAAGACAAAATAAAGTTTAGCAATAAAGTATAAAATGGCTATAGAGTAATATATTGCCAAATTAGAAAATATGATTATAACAAAATCTTAATCAAGTTTTACAGTACTGTAAAAAGTAAATATGGTGATAACATTATCTCAATCATATATCTACACTTTCTAAATAAGAGTTAGTTATTCAAAACTGGTCACTTTCGCACTTCAATGGTTTTTATTAGAAACTTGACCAGAAGTTAATTTGCTAAAATTCCCAAATTTGATGTCTGATATCTGAATTACCATCTTGTTAAAGCACAATTTCGTTCAAGTCATATTGTATGACTAATACGAAGGGACTTAGAGAATAAACAAACGAGAGATGGGATAGAAGAACATGATTATGAGCATGGGCTTTCTCCTGAAACCCCAAACTTATGACATAGGTTACACACAAATGCCTTGTTATGGTGGGGACTGATGAATATTGCATATTTATATATAAAATCATAGGTTGGTTAGGAAATATAGAATTAGTATAGTAAATGTAACTGCTCTAAAAAGTAAGGGGTTAATTATTAGTAGGGATGGGATGGTTCGTTTCAGTTCAGTTCGGTTCGGTTTTTCGGTTCCCCGGCCGTCGGTTCGGTTTTTTCGGTTCGGTTCATTCAATTTAGCGATTGTTATAGATTGAATGCCTTTATCTCGGACTACACTACTGATTGTCACTTTATTTTATTACCCACAATAAAATAACTTATTTTACTTGTAGAAGAAACCTTTTTCTTATAGGCCTACTATCTTGCAAACGCTAAACTTATGATGTCTTTTCAGATGTCGTGACATCTATGATGCATTTCCTATATAGGAACTCAAATATGGATGCTTTGTGCGCGCAAATTAATACCCTACATCACAACAAATACCCCTACAAATATAAATTTGCGCAAATCAATTATGCAAACATTATAATATTATTGTGACGATTTTTGATTTTGATTTTTTGAATTTCCCGCATATTGTTCGCTAAAGCGACTTGTTGTATAGCATTTTCTGAGAACACCCATATCCATATCAACCAGACCAATAAAATATCGCTAAGAATGTCAAATTAAACTCCTGATTTTGCAATAATTAGTACATATTTCTTTCAAAAAGTTATTGTTTTAGATGTATAGTTCTTGTTTGTTTCATAATCACTTAAAATTAGAGTGGACTTGACAGGAATAAATGTAAAATGGAGCGTTGTCAGTTTGTTCAATTTTTGCCGATCTTAGAACATAGAAACTTTGTGTTGGTCCATTTCATGCCTATTTCTCTATTATTTCATGCATGTTCTCTTGTAATTATGTTGTGTAATTAAGGTAATTGAATATCCAAGGAATAAGCAAGTAATTTAAGTAGGTTGGGTTCAATATATCAGGGAGATTTAACCATTTCTCGGGCTTCCTAACCAAATGGGCTGCTAATTTTTATTTTAAGCACCTGGATACGAAACGAGTGTAAACGAGTGAGCTAGCAGCAGACGAGGTAGGGAAATATCAAAAATGTTGACAAACACTGTAAAACAGTGTTTTATTTTTACTTGTAGGTCAAATACTGAACCGAAAATGAACCGAAAACGTGAATTGACAGTAGGGTAGCGATCCGAAAACCGATCTGATGGCTCTGAACCGCGGTTTTTCGGTATTTCGGTTATCCGTCCCACCCCTAATTATTAGGTGAGAGGTGGTGTCTCGCTTCTCTTGCCTGAATATTTCCAGACAAACCACTGGATGGATTGATTTGGAATTTCTAGGGATGTCCTTGGTTTGAAAACCTAGAACTTGGATCTTTTTGTGCACGCTTGGCAACTTCTAAGGCAGTTTTAAGGATATTGCCCACCCCATGGCTTTGAGGAAATAAGTGACTGTTTCTATTAAATACAACATATTTGATTTCTTATGTATTTGCAGTATATTATAGGAAGTTTTATGTCCTTTTTGATCTCAAAGATAGGGGATTGTAATATGTAAATATATTGATATCTGTGAGACATTATATATTTATAGGATATCCTATGATTTTGAGGAATATCATTTTTATCTACGAGGTGATATTGATATGTGCACAAGAGAGCGAAGCGAATGAGTGCACATATCAATAACACAGAGATTAAAATTATATTCTGAATAAATCATAGCATCCTCGTAGTGTATTAAATATATAATGTCATTGAAAATTAAATTTCATGTCAATTTCTTCAATTTGGCAGGAAATCAACAAGCAGAATGTATCGTTACAATATCTTCCGCATATTGGTTTTCTGGAGTATATCGTCACAATATCCTCTACATATTGGTTTTCCAGGGTATATAGTGGCAATATCCTCCAGTTATTCATTTTGCCAATAGATATCAAATTTATTTTTTAATGTTATCATACATTTAGTACACTAAGTGTAGGATAATAACCTATAGTGCCAGCTTAGGTTTGTGATATCTGATATCCATTTTTAGTTTTAGGGAGTTCTTTATTCCAAAACAACTGAAAAAGTCATTCCATTTTCGGCCAATAAACCATAAAATCTGACTCGTTTTTTTATCCCTAAGTATACCCCAACTATTTTCCATCTCATGATAAGTTTGTATCTGTAATGTTTTCCAGGAAGCGCTTACATAATGACACCCCCCAGGAACACTACGACCATGGAGGGTGAGAGGGTGAGGCTGACTTGTCATGCTGAGGGCTGGCCCAATAACATCACCTACAGGTAGCTTCTTTAGCAATTGTGCTACCATATCTAAAGAACCTACAAAATATGTATACATGTAATGAAATAATTCTGTTTCATTCATTATATTACTAACACTAGAGAAGAGTACATTACAGTTCAATTCATTTCATTTTTATCATCACTTCCCAAAAGTTTTCCTAAAAGTGATTAAAAAATATTTTCAGGTACTTCTAGCTGTCTTAGGATAAAGCACCACACTGTATGATAAAAAAAGTAATTTGTCCTTTTCAGGTGGTACAAAGATGGCCGTGATGTCCAACTAGTGGCTGGACTAATGGCAAGAGCAGGGGTCTATGCAGATGGAAGACTAGTGATCAGTTCTGTGGTGGCTGACGATACAGGATGGTATAAATGTCGTCCTAGCAATGGACTAGGAATTGCTCCAGAAGCCGAGGCCTTCCTCAATGTCACATGTAAGTTTTGAGTATAATTATATGTTCTATATGTAAGTTCTGAGTAGTCATGGTGTCGTTCAATTACGATATTTAAGTTTTGAGTTTTATATTGAAGTTCTGAGAATACTATATCTAACTTTAGAGTATCATATATAAGTTCTGAGTATCATATGTGAATTCTAAATATTATGTAAGTTCATCTTTCTGAATTTTGTAAAGTGTTATTTATATTTCATGAATCACATGTAAATACTATTGTTACAAAGTTCTGAGTATCATCAATGAGTTCTGAGTATCATCAATGAGTTCTGAGTATCATTGTGAGCTCTAGGTGCCTTCAACAGCTAATCATTATCATATGTAAATAAATTCTAAATGTCAGATATACAATAATCAAATATCGCACCGAATGTAACCATTGTTTAGAATATCAGCTTATAGAATAAAAAAGATCAATATAGCTAACTGTGCATTGTTGGTATGATCAATTCTGGAAGACAAAAATATAGATCGAATTCAAAAGTAATTGCTACTTATTTGTATCACTTTTCATGCCAAAAGGCTTGTGATGTCATCAGTAATCTCGAGACGTAGCTACGCTCTGATGCTATACATCATCCCGAAAGATACTTGATGATCGTTACGTAGAAAAATAATGAATGTCTTATTGCTTATGGGGGCTATTCATAAGCTCTGAAGGTCCTTTATATTGACATGTTTTTTTAATATTGTATCACAGACCTTTCATCGCACTGGAAAAATATTGTTTTATTGGAAGGTAGCTTGAACTGTGGGTTATTGTGACCTTGGCCTGAGGCAAGGTTGCGAAATTATGGCAACATTTAATTTTGGGAATAAAAAATTAATGATTTTGAATCCCATGTTGGATTTACTCTAATGTTGGAGGTTATATTCTAAGGCAATGTTGCGAAATTATGACAGTATTTAATTTTGCGAATAAAATTTTTTGGATTTACTCTAAAGTTAGAGGTTTTATTCTATCACATAATCTAATATACTTTCATGAATGCTATACTCTGTTTCTCTTTGTATGCTGAACTCCTTAAAAGTCCATACTGGGTCAGGAACATAATAAATTACTGGGAGACAAGCTTTTATTTAGATTGCCTGTCACCCGATTTCAAGATATATCACATAATAGTCTGGTTGATTTGCCGGCAATGTTCAGTATATGTTGAACACTAATTCAATTACTTTTTGCGACCAGGGTTTATTTTATACAGTCCATTTGACACATTTGTAATTTATTTCGATCACAATTACCGCTTGAAATAGGCTTGAAACTGTCTATTTCTGGTCTATTGGTTCTGGGGTCCAGCGTGTAATACTAATATCAACTATAGATTTAAACAAAATGGATTAAATGCTATCTCCCAGGGGGCAGTTGATCACGCTTTCTTTGGTTATATTTACTCTTTTATGCCACCAGCACTGAAGATAACTGAATACCTTACAAAATCTAAAAGTTATTTTTGAGAAGTTGTTGATAACGAAAGGAAAAAAGTTCTTTGATTGGTTGGAAGTAATTCTCAGTTAGTCCATTAGGGATTAAGAACAGAGATGTTGTTTCTGTCTGCATGGTGCTTTTGTCATGGTTAGCATACCTCAGTTGGTAAAGTGTTCAGTTGAAAGAATTTAGGATTAGTATTTGGTTAAAGGGAAGATTGTGTACTTACAGAAACCATGGTTAATGACTAAGGAAAATAACATGATTGCCCAATTGAACATATTGGCATTAAGTCAATTGCCCAATTAAGGCAACTAGTTTTCCAAGTTCATTGCTGTGATTCAAGTGATTGCCATTGATGATATTCATTTAGGCAGTTGTGAGTTTGAACCCTGATAGAAATGCAAGTCCAACTGAACCCTAAGCATATCACTGTATCACGCTAGAAGATACAAATTACAAATTTGATCGATTTTGACAAAATAAATGTGGTTGAAGAAAGTTCATTAAGGAAAGGCGTAAATGGATGATTTTCATTCCACATATTCTAGAATGGGAGAACAGGTTACCTCTCTTATATGTTCACTTGATCAAGGTGTTCACGTGTGGAGCTTTTACAGGAAATAATTGAGCTATGACAATATCAAACTGACACAAGTCACTATCACATCATAGCAAGATGCATCATTTCAATTGAATCCCGGAAATTAAATCTACTGTTGAAACTATCTTATATCTCAGAAGTGACTCGTCGAATATTGTATAACTCTTTTATTAGAAAATATTTTATGTTGATGATCTGATGGTCCACAAGATTGACACAGAATGTTGTACAAACTTTACTGAAAAACATTTTTAAGACGTAACATAGTTGTAGCCACCCCATAACCAATATAATATGACCATGATATAGAAGAGGAAAAGAGCTTTAAAATACTTTTTATTTGAAGCTTCTAGCTCAATTTTGAAGGAAGTTGCACAAATTTTCGGAAAATTCAGGATATCTTAATATTTTGGCTTATTTATGCCACAATCGCACCCCCTGACTGAAAACCGAATTTTATTGTCGATCACCCCCCCCCCTTGACTGAAAGCTGGCTACACCTCTGTGTAATTAGTGATTGCATGACAATATTGTAATTAGCAAACCATGACATGCTGTTCAGACTAGACATGTTCATGAATTTTTATCACTGTTATTTATAAGCTCATTTTATTTTGTGTTGGTATTTAAGAATGAGGTGAACAGTGAAGAATAAAACACTACAACATGCCGTCTATGGCTTGTTTGCATGATACACATTCGTAGAAAAGGTTCATGAAATATTCAGTATGCTTTATATATGAGCTACAACAGTTCAATGAATGACAATTGAGAACAATAATGAATTAATGCTGTTGAATGATTTTTTCAGGATTTAGGTTAATGACGTAACACAGTATTTGAACTATTTTTGTAGGTGCCATAGATGTACAGTATCATATTTTATTCGTATCTCATGCAACTCAAATTGTTCTCATTGTCGCATAGAATTCTAATGATTCTGACAAAAAATAATAATTCATTCATTCATTAAGTCAGTCAGTCATGAGATGTCAGATATTTGAGTGCTTGGTTATATAGGTGCATTGAGTATAGGAACCTATCGTGGTTTTTTCTGTTTTCAGTTTTACCAAAAGTGCTTCCGATGCCAACACGAATTTACCTCCCTCTTGGGATGTCAGCCTCCATTTCATGTAAAACTATCGCTAATCCTCCTGTTACTCTGATTGTGTGGACGAGAAATGAACACGTCATAGACTTCTCGTCATCACCCAGGTATTAGGACTTGTTACTTTTGTGAACCAAATAAAACATACCCTTTACCAGAGCTCAGCTTTTTTGCAAATCTTTGCATGAGAGATTAAGAGACCTTTGCAATCATATATTCAATAATATTCAATATAAATGTCATGGAGCTACTTATATTTATCTCCATATAAGTACATGTATTTCATATTTATCTCCATATAAGTACATGCATTTCATATTTATCTCCATATAAGTACATGCATTTCATATTTTATCTCCATATAAGTACATGCATTTCATATTTATCTCCATATAAGTACATGCATTTTATACAAGTGTATTTATCTCCATATAAGTACGTGCATTTCATATTTATACTCCAGCATTAACATGTATAATTCAGATTATTAAGATCATTAATGTTATAATGTGGTTGGTTGGTTGGTAAGATCCAAGGTATACTAAAATACATGTTTATCAAAGATTGAACTGAACACAACATGTTGATCCAGTTAAAGCTAAAAAAGTATAGTGTACATTTATATAAAATGAACACTGTTCATTAGATCATCATTTATCTGAAGTCATACTTGTTCATCACGTATGTTTTTGTTTTGTTTTTTAGATACAGACTCTCCAATGATGGGACTTTATCGATAGATCTAGTCACTAAAAAAGATAGTGGGAGATACACATGTATGCCATATAGCCCACTAGGGGCTGACAAAGGCTCACCTATTATACAAGCAGTAGTCAGAGGTAGATTTTTACACCCTTTTTAACAGAAGAATTTATTCAATAAGAACTCAATCTTAGTTTTTTGACTGAAAAGTTTTCTACTTATAAAAGTGTCCCACTTATTGAAGTGTTCCTCATGCCATGACTTACTGTGTACAATTAGTATTTGTGCATGGAAATACAACTGTTTGACTTTATATTGCACTTTTTATATTGCTAATAAATTTCAACTCAACAAGACAAGAGTGCCTGTCATGCGTCAATGACTGTTGATTTTAAATAAGTAAATATTTTAGCTTGGTCTAGTAGCACTATCTTATTTGTCCTATGCTAGACTGTTATGATGTAAATGATTAGTCAGATAGTTTCTTGTGCCTTTTAAATATTGATGAACATTTGTTTTTTGTAGATATGTTTTAAGCAAAAGTTTTGTATTTTATTTATTTATTGACTTTGCTTCAATTTTCAGATCCACCACGATTTATAGTACGTCCAGATCAAATGTATCAGCGTCAAATCAACACAGCTCTTACAATGCCGTGTATGGCCACAGGGGACCCCCCTCCCACAGTCACCTGGCGAAAGGTATGCAAATAAAGTTTAAAACAAAACTCAATTTTTGCACTTTAAAGATTTATTCTTTAGCAATTGATTGTTACATTCACCCAACGAGAATCTAAAACTTGCCCAAACCTCCTGGACCAAAATACCCCCAACAACTAAACAACTAAGCAATTAACAACAAAACTTTTCAATAGTTTTATGTATTTTTTGTTTTATTATTACTTGCTTCCAGACTATATTTATGTTAAAGCGACCTGTAACGTCAAATGGCGATTGGTCTTGCTTTCGTGTATTTTGGAAATTACTATGATTTAAGAATAATAAAAACATTAATAATAATAGAATTGATTGTGAATAGAACAGGATGAAGTTGAATACCGCTGTAATATACAAATTACACAATAGACTGCACATACAGAATGACAGCCACAGAATTGACCAATCAAATACAGAGAAAATCGAAAGGAACACAAAACAGAATGAAACAAAACAGTCTAATTCTAAAACAATTGTGAAATTCAAGATAAAAATGTATGTTTATTTATTTTAGGCTGATGGAGCTTTCCCATCCAGTAGTAAAACTCTCAAAGATGGCGGAAATCTCACGATCGCCTACCTTACGAAGGAGGATCATGGTGTATATGAATGCATCGCTAGTAATATGGTCACTACTATCATCACAACAACTATGCTCATCATTGAATGTGAGTGATAGTTTATATTTGATTTTTTTTTTATTATGTTTCGATTGTGACATTTTGTTACAGCAACCATATCATTTGGGCATCGACTTTCTTGTTTGGCTTCTGTAACAATATTTATTTTGTTACCATCACAAGTAGTGACATATTGTTATAGTCTCCAACTATTTAGTGGATGTTGTTCTGCAGGCGGCAGTTAGCATTCGGCAGGTGGTGGTTGGTATCTGTAACAAATGGCAGGTGGTAACATTCTGAATGATAATGCCTCCTGCTTTTGAAATTGCAACTAGGTGGATATAGTTTATCATGCAAATGTCCTGTCATATTTAGGATGCATCACATTTATTTATTATACAAATCAACAGTAATAGATTAGCAGGGCATACTGACAATTGTGTTAAATTAGAGTGTATTTTCCAATTGAAGTGTCTTAATTCAGTAGCAGGCGTCTAGTAGAAGACTCATCATTCCCTTCATGTCATCTAAGATATTTTGATACATTCTTTGTTCTTTTGCAGACACTACACCTCATGCGCCACATAATCTGAGTGTTGTTACATCGCAATTCTCCGCCAGAGTGTCATGGATGCCTGCGTACGATGGAGGTCATCCCCAGCATTACGTTTTATGGTAATCAGTTATTATCTATCAAATATAATTGTTTATTACACAATTAAGTTAAATACTAAATTCTGATTGGTTGATTCTACAGTGTAATATCTAGAACTATATTTTTGAGAAAATGTTTGATTTGACTCATATGTATTTTACCTTGGGTCCTTTTTTCAAGATTGTGCAGTCATCTGCGGAATATCATAAGATGTTGGAAAATTAATCTCATGGAAAAAAAATGTTCATTTGATTTATTCCAAGATTTTCAGCAGTATTCATATACCTAGCAAGCTATGACAAAAGCAAGTTTCATCAGAATAAAATATTTATCATTAATAGTGCTAGTCTGTTACAAAATAAATACTGCTCAAGTCCATTGCATTGCATAATCGTAAAATATTGAATAGAATCATTCTGATTTATGATGTGGTCATTTTTCCACTTTGTATGTTTTTTTATTTTTCAATTATGGTGTGTCATCAATTAATCTCAAGTGAAATAGGATTTCTGGCTTGATTGTTATCACTAACTAGTGTTCTACTTTTACGAGCCCATTATATTGAGTGTAAATTGAAATATTGGCCGAAAGACCCATTGCTAGATCACTGTGTTCTGTGGTATGTTAAGATGACCCTTCAATGCATGCTTACTGAATTGAAAACTATACTGCGAGTTTAGATTGCAATTTTCATAACTTTGTTACTAGGTATAGTAAGAATTTCTGAATATTTATGTCAAATTTTGAGTAGATGTGTGGAAAAATGAATGGGCAAAGTTATGACTTTAATAAGATTCCATAAATCATCAGTCTCTTAAATGACTAGTTTTAGGTTAACTAGATCATATAAATTGAAGTCATATCTTTGGATGTTAAGGGTCAACAAAAGGTAGAGTTGTCTTTCAAGGTCAAACATATAATGTACTCAAAATATCACTCAGATTTCACCAAATAGTGTCTCCAAAAATAATTCAAGGTGGAGCATGCCCTAAAAATTTATGCCTACAGTATGAGTCTGAGTGTGTCCCCAGACCTACTAAATTGTTTTTTGCATCAACATGCCAATATGCAGTTGTCGTAATATGTTGAAAAATGCCCACCCCTCTCCCATTTCAAATATGGTAAGATTGATCTGACCAGTGTAACAAGTCATCTGTAGGGGTTATCTTCAGGGACTTTATTATTGAGTTTATCTATTAGTTTATGTTCAGTGAGCACCTCATGGGGCCAATGGTCAAATGAGGTTCTCCTGGTGATATTTACATGAAGGCAATGGGCACTAAGGGAGTCCAATTGACACTATGGGAGTCACAAATGTTAAACCAGTTCAGTATCCCTTTACATTGAATATTCAAGACAATCAGAGAGATTCAGCGCAGTGAAGCAAGTTACCGACACTAATCTTTAATCATATAATCTGAAAATCTCATCTCGTATTCCACATAGCAGATCATCACATTTTCTCGGTGTTGTATTCGCAATTGACATTTCACTTTCCCATTTGATATCCATCTCAAATCCCAATTCAACAGTCTCAGAATTAGAATCAGGCTGAATGAGGGCAAATGTGACGTCCAAGACATAAAATAGACAATTTGATTAAAGTGTGACTGCTGTATATTTAGTTAAACCATCAGATTGAGCAAAAGAAACACAGTGCAAGGAATGAAATAGCTAAGACGAATTGAGATAAAACCTTGTGAATCAAGATGTCTTTTGCTTGAATTTGGAATACTGCATTTTAAATGGATTCTGGTAAAAATGACTGACATGTGAATCTGTAACTGTGTGTCTGTATTTGTGTCCCCAGTTTTCTCTCCTTCTGATATATTGGAAGTATCTGGAATGAAAATTGAAAATGTCTTATCTGTATGTATTTGGATATTCGCCACTGACGTGTCATAAAGTAATGCTTTATGACGGTGCTTTATTGCCGTTTGAAGATTGAATTCTGGCCCTCGGGTAATTTTAGATAATTTTCAAATGAAGAAGTAGCTTTTTCTTATATTACTAGAGTTGTTTGTTGGCAGTTTAGATTGTATTGTGATAAATTATATATAACTAGCTAGGCCCCCATTTGCCATAGGCTAGATAAAATGAAAATGACAAAATTTTGTTTTTGTTCATTCAATATTTATCACAGTTTATAGCAATTTTCCATTTTTAGAAAATCAGCGTAAAAGTAAAACTAAACTGCTTATCTTTTGATTGTATTATTGGAATTATATTATTTTGAAGCAATGGTTTTCCATGGCTTCAACCCACGTAATGCTCATTTGATCATGTGTTGCTCATTTAGACAACCAATAATACAATATAATACAATGTGTATTGATCTGAAATAACAAAAAATACCAATCAATATTTTATGATTTCATTGTGATCACAACACATTGGTCACCATAACATTTTGTCAACTGATAATCAATTAAGGACCAATTTATATATTTTCAAAAACTACTAATTAAGTCTTTCAATTTATTGACAGAAATACAAAATTATCTTTTCAAACCAAAATTCAATTTTTCCCGTTCATTTCTAGGTTTGATTGATTCAATTATTTTAGGAGTGAATGACCAACCTGCACTTGGATCATTCTCAAAGAGGATTGAAAAACAAAATCTTATCTTTGTTCTTGGGAAATTGACTTCAAACAGTTCTTGGAAATCCAATATAAGAATATTTGGGACGTGTACTTAATTAAAAGAGATTTATGATTGATAGCACTGGACTATTATGTCAAAAAATTCTATTGTAAATGATCTTGAAATTCTATTGTAAATGATCTTGAAATTCTATTGTAAATGATCTTGTACCACAAACAACAGAATTTTATGATACTTTTATATTTTGGAAAAAGTGGCTTATAAATGATTGATTCAACACCTATTCAGAAGGTATTTGGAATCTAAATCTTTCAGGAACGATCTGGACATAATTATTGTCAAAACTATATTTTGGGATTTGACTGCTGATATGGGAAAGTATCTTGTGTAGGAGATCTAGCATGCTTTAATATCATGGCTGAAAGAAAGAAAATTTGGAGTGTAATAGAGGAAGTGACAAATAGTTTTAGCAACGTTATGTTTCAAAAACAAATAGTTTCAGATTAGATCCCCCAGCTCCATTAAGGTCAATCCTTAAGTTAATCTAGGGGAATATCAAATATAAAATGATAAATGATATGAAAGAACTAGGATAAGATATCCTTTTATTCCATGATAAATTATAGATCATATCAATTTTCATGAAACAGTTGAATTTTATAAAAAAATTATAAATTATAAATATCATATATGATGTATTTAGTGCTATCTCTTTCTCTGAAGTGATTTTTTGAAACAATATGATTAACAAACCATACAAAAAAAATCTTAAATAAGAGAGAGGTTTTGCACAACGTTTTTAGCCAAACATATATAAAATCTGTTAGACATCCCGCAGATCTATGCGTAGTAGTTCAAATAAAGAAAGATGCAGTAACGGATAAGTTTTAGCTGTAAACAGTTGTGTGAAACCTCTCTTATATTCAATCTATATCCATATGAATGAGATATTAAATTTATACTTCAGTTAATTTCTGCACCGTCTACACGTGAATATACATATATGCACGTATCATTATATGAGCCAGGCCACAGGAAAAGGGGTCTTATCACAGATTTTTTCAATATTCTGATTTTTTTTATCTTAAAAAGCACAAAGAAATCTTTCAATTGAGCCATGGCTTATGTCCTAACAATTTTTCCTTGCATATCTTCCTCCTAATCGTGGGCACATTTTGGCTCTGTAGCACAATTTTAATTTTTGTGATACAATGTAAGACTGGTTTTCCTATGGCCAGGCTCATATATATTACAATATACATTGTAATTAGCATACTTTATTGACTTTATGCTTTATTCTTTAGGTACAGGTATGTGCATGGAGATCCTAGCGATTGGATGACGATGCGAGTTCTCCCTGATACTGCCACATCATTCACTGTCTACAGTCTCTATCCCAAGTCACAGTACCAATTCATGGTACTAGCACGTAACTCCCTTGGAGATGGCCTATTCAGTCAAATAATATCAGCAAAAACCAAAGGTAGAAAGCTAAGAATATTATATATGCCTTGTTTTTTTTTATATATTAAATATACGTTAACAAAGAGTTTTAGACAAGGGAAAATGTTAGTGTTTCAGACAGATTAATATCTACAAAATGTATGTGTTTTAGTGTTTAAAGCCTGACATGCTTGACATAAGCCTTTAGGTTAAATCCTAATGAGGCAGGCCATATCTTAAATACTTACCTGTGAACCATCTTTCCTTCCCACGAATATATAAGGGTTATGTACTGGGAGGTTTTGGATACAGGTTTTATCCCAAGGGAAATATGTGTATATCCAGAGTGACCGCAGGGACCGAGGGATATACACATATTTCCCGAGGGATAAACCCTGTATCCAAAACCGATCGTACATAACAGATGTATTTCATACCTACTGATGTTCTAGGTACGTCATATACCTTATCCAAAAATTGAAAAATGAAATTTGAAAAAAAAATTGAAAAAGATGTGAAAAAAAATTTGAAAAAGAATGTGAAAAAAAAATTGGAAAAAATTTGGAAAAATTTTAAAAAAAAAATTGAAAAAATTCAAAAAAAAATTTCAGGAGCGGGACCGGGATGGATACAGCGTGTATCCATCCCGCCCCGGGCCTTGGCTAGATACAGTATATATTCCCGCTCGTTATGTACCTAAAACCTCAATAGGTATGAAATACATAGAAGTATTGTGTCATGTTTTGCCAAAAGAGATGAAGCATGCAGAATAAGGGACCAAAATTTCTATATATCTCAACATTTGTACCAGTTTCACCTACGGGCCTCAATTTTTCAAAAGGTTTCAATAAAATAAACTGTCCAGATTTTAGTTATGCTGATTAAAAATAATATCACCGTGTAAGCCTTATTGTTATTCTGGTGGGTTCTTGAACTATATTAATGATATATAGTATCAAGCCCATTGGGAGGGACTAACTAGCCTATACACATGTAGGTATATGTCAGGGTTTATGGTTAAAGGGGGACCTATTATGCCATGATAAATAGTCCCTCATTTATACTTCTCCACCAAGTATCATCCGCTCTCCATTGAGTCTAATTCGCATTGCATTAGTAGCTCAAGAAATATAGCTTCTTTACTCCTGAGAGAATTGGCATTTGCTCCATCAACATTTCCAAATAACAAAGTCACCCTTCTTAAATTATTCTATTTTAAGTAGGTTTTACTCCATAGATTATAAATGACATCATGAATCGGACGTGACTCTCGTAAAGCTGACGTTCCTTTCATGTAATTATTAGTAGTTTTGTCAAATAATTCAGAATATATTTGAAGGATGTATGTCTCTATGAGAGTAGAGGGTTGGATATTTTACAAGGGTGATTGGTTATTTTTCCAATTTTAAAATTGTTTTATGAGACCATGTATAACCTACATCATATTGGATAGGGAATGAGAATTCACTTTGTCAGTTTCTCCATCCCAAATAGGATGCTAGGTCCGAACCTTCATTTCATTGCATCATATATCAGTCTTACGGATGAAAGGTTATATTTCATGTAATACTCACTTGTATGCGAACCTTCAAATATTTATAATTGCTTCCAGTATTTTATGAAATGCTTTTGAACAAAGAAAATACATTGTTTTATGCTATATATAGTGATCGAGTTAATTATACAGTGTGTGTTTATATGTAGTCAAGTCCTGGTTCAATATGCATAGAAGTCTGTTCAAGTACAACACATTTGGTGTGTCTTCATAGATGTTATACTAGAGGATGTCTTTTGAAAATGTTGTAAATTATGATACAATTAATTTTAACGTAGCAAGAATGTCAAAATAATTGAATAACATAAGAAGTAATTTACTATATTTTCAAGAAATATTCCCCTGGGATATTTATAGAGTTGTTCTCCTTTTACAGGTTTTGTCATATGTATTGTGTGATCCCTTGTTATCATCTTATCACAGTTCCTCTGTCTGTATGTACTTCATCCTTAAAATACCAGTTTTATGCACGAGTTTACCCCTACAGAATGTCTAGATCACAGAACCAAGTTTAATGTTAGTTCACCCCTACATCTTTAAGACCATAGGGACAAGACCTTGACTTTTTCATAACAATTTGAAATTAATTAATTTGTTATCATTCCTGTTGAATTCCCCACGGGATAATTCTCACTCAAAACAAGTATAGCCAATGCATAAACCAAGGGTCTGCCAAATTCATATCTATTGAATGCTAAGATCTGATTGATATTTTGAAAAAGTTTGTTTATATCAGTTTGATAAAAATATCATTTTGAAGTTACACATTCTATTTTTCATTTTATCAGAGACTATTGAAGCTCTTGCATTGCATTAACTACAGATGGGCACAGATATTAGCCATTATTTTCACATTGTATCAAATACATGGCAAATAAATTTTGAATTCCTTCAAATTCTGAGTCAACTTTTAACAATATGAATATTCAAGTGATGAATAGATTGATAATCATAACAGGCCTGTAGCCAGGATTTGCCACTTCGTTTGTTCACTTTTTGAAAAATTCCAGGAGGGTTCACTTTTGACAACTTTGGCCCAAAATGGCCAAAAACACTTGAAAAGTGCTCAGCATGGTGAAAAACTGCATGATTTTGAAAGAATGCTTGCCCCCTCCCCCTGGATAGATATTCAAGATGTGAAATTTGCCCTCTTTTTTGTTGAGATATGGCCTTTAAAATATATGTCTGTACAGTTTTGACGAAACTTGGAATATTTCACAGCACTAGTACAAAGGGTTGAGGATCTGATGGAAAATGAAATCTTGTTCATTTAACTGGTGTTTTAATGGATTTACATCTCATTGTTTTCTTTCAGAAAATAATGACACTTCAGGCAATTCCAGTGGTATAAACATTTCTTACTTCCTGCCCGCTCGCTTCTGTCAACATGTATTTAAGTTAATGCTTCATGATTTGGCTGTTTTTTTTTTTATTTTTTGTTTTGTTTTAGATTATTGAAAAAATGTTTGTTTGTTTTGTTTGGTTTCAGGCATGATTAATTCATTCAAAGTACACAATTAATTATTTAGTTTATTGTTATCACATATGGACAAAGGTCAGCATTTGAAACATGAAAATCATGCATGATCTATTAAAAAAAACTGTCTGTGGTTTTCAGTTTTAAATTCATAATAGGACATTATTTTCGTTTATTATGTCACTACCAACAAGTGGTGACATCCAGTTATAGTCTCCAACTTTTTTGTCGATTGTGTTCGGCATCTGGCATTCGTGTAAGTGTTCAACAGTCAGCATTCCGAGTTTGGTGTCTATAACAAATGGCAGGTGGTGATTTTTACATGTTAATGCCTTTTTTCTTTACGTTCTTGGTGTTCCTTTTGTTTCTGTTTTGCAAGCCGTTTTGTAATAAGTATTGTTGGTAATCGTACTTGTATATAGAACATAGAAGGGTTTACTATATGATGTAGCTTCCAATTTAGAAAGATACAAACATGTTTTGCATAATCACGCGGTACTACCTTCGACTGTTAATTTGAATTTTTGACCTACCAGATGCTTTAAAATCAAGGATTGCGAGTCTCATACTGCACTGTTTTTTCTTCAAACTTATACCATTAAAAGCAAAACAAATAGATAGCGTGATAATAATTAAGTTGACTTTCTAGTTTGTTGACTGGGTCATCAATTTTCATGTGTGTATTTTACATTGAATGACTATATGAAAGTACATGTAATTATAATTCAGTTTTCTAAATTGGAGCAAATGTTACCTTAAGGTATAACTACATGAAAAATTATAGGATATATTGGCTGCATTTGTAATGGCATAGGTTGTATGTAGCGATGTTCTCATCTGTTTTTGTTGATTTGTTGTATTGCTTCCTACTATATGATGTAATGATCCTAGCCAATTCATTTCGATTTTTTTGATGTGCTGTTAAAGAAGGTAGTGTTTATTGGAAAGATCTATTGGATGTTATACTTTGTTTTGTAATATATATATATATTTTTTTTTTAAATTTTATTCAATTACCTTTTTGTTTTGTAATATGTTTATGTGATTTGACACTCTTTCATACAATGTATGAATGGGCTCCACTGTTGTACTATAAATCAAAATGAAAAAATGTTATAGAGGTGATTGAGACAGTGTCTGACTGCATTAAACATTATAAGACTCATCATTTTCTTGCATCTGTTCTTTGACCCACATATTCATCAAACAGTGTTGATCAGTAGATAAAGAGACATCTTTCATTGTTGTTGTAAAATTAGTTTAACCTACATGCATTTTTGTCGTCGACCTATATACACCAAAATGTGTCCTATTGAAATGTTTTATGTCATTTTGTCTGCTAAGTGTATATATATTTTGTTTTTGATTTAGTTATTCATAATAATATCTTCAATGACATTATTGCATATGTGAGTGTTGTTATTATCTCTAATGGCTCTCACAATCTCTCTTGGGACTGGATGAAGATTAGATTCATGGGAGAAAACTACCATCTATCTTTATTCTTATGCATATTTAAATCCAACTAAGGGCCTAATTAAATCATTGTAACAGAAAATGAAATTTTATGTTCTTATAGAATGGCTTCCCTGACTCCTTTTTGGGAAACATGAATAAAAGATTGAAATGAAATGTCACATTTAGCCATATTTATTTTTATTATTCATATTTATTATATTTTTCAATTGAATGTAGATGGTAATTTTGTTCAGTGGAGTTTAAAGGCTGACAACTGAAGTTCAATACTGGGACATATTTCAAATTTTAACATTTAGGGTTCTTAGTTCTTACCATGTAGATAACAGGATATGCAAGGCAAACATACCCATGTTATATACCAAAATCTTCAAATACAAGTATAAAGTCAGTTATAAAGTATTAATACTTGTAAATGATAATTATTATCTTATTAAATTAAGATTTATATATTTCCCATTTTCTTTAAGATTTGGCCTAAAATTTTTCTTGGTGGGGGGGGGCAGGCCCCTGGTACCCAGATCCGCCAGTGATTCGTATGTGCTAAGCTCACAAGAACTAGTTAGGAAAGTTTATGCATGAGGATACTTTTCCTTCAATTTCATTTGCTTAAAAACTAGTATGAAAAAAGCAACTGATTTTTTTGTATTTTAAGGTTTTTGCCATTGAGAAGTTAATTTTTATTGTATATTTTCTTAATTTATTAGGTTTTAGATAGAATTATCCCGGTAGTTTTAAATAGAATTATCCCGGGATTACTATATCAATAATCATCCTTGGTTATCCATGACGAGAATCATGGGAACAAAAACGTCAGAGTAAATATATCCACAAATACCTGTATTTTTTATTTAGTTGATTTTCATGTTCTTTAGAAGTTAAAATGTATTAAATCTTTACTATTAATTCCAACAAGTAAGTTTGAATGTTTGATTGCTCACTAGAAGAATAATACAAATCTTGATGTATTTTTTTTATATATCAGGATATTTATGAATATATTTGTTATATTTTCAGGCTACATCCCTAAATTGGAGGGTAAGTTTCCAACAGATGAAACAGGGATAACATATTATCCACCTTACATAGAGCCCATAGGTATGAGAAACTTGGTTTTATTCTATTTCATAGAATGAGTGAGTGAAAGCATGAGTGAGTAATAGTGGTGTCAATTAACCGCTTGAGCATTAACCGGTTAACCGGTGGTTTTTATCGGTTAAAGTCGGTTAACCGGCGGGAAAATTTAAACTGATAATTTCAAATGAAATCTTCATCTTCGATCTTGAAAGTTGAAAAAAATTGGAAAAATGATATACCGGCGTTTATTCGTCAAGCTTTACGCTATTCTATGTAAGCAAGCGCGGGAAAGCAATGTGGCAGGAATTAAAGTTGCTGATTGGATGTTTGTAAGGAATTATCGGACCTATCACATGTATGAGTAGCTCACATGAAACTGACGCTTGAAAAACAAACAGATTAAAATGCAAAGTAAGCGCGGTAAAGCAATGTGGCAGGGATTAGAGTTGCTGATTGGATGTTTGTAAGGAGTTATAGGACTTATGACATGTATGAGTAGCTTACGTGAAACTGACACCATAAAACCAAACGGATTAGCATGCAAAATAAGCGCGGGAAATAACAGAAGTATACACGGTCAACTAACCGCCCATAAAAACACAGACCGGTCAAGGCATTATCGGCGGTTAACCGGTTAATACTTGACACCTCTAGTGAGTAAGGCTGTGAAACATGAGAGAAAGAATGGGCAATACAATATAAAATGAGTAAATTATGCATCCATGAAAGAATGAATAGAGAGAGAGGATGAGTGAGATGCTTCAGTGATAGAATTAGAGTAATTCATGGTGGAATGAGTGAGTGATATATGAGTAATAGAATGAGTGGGTGAAACATGAGTGATAGAGTGACAGTGGTACGAGGGGTGATCAATAAGTAATGGACGCTTTTTTACACAGATGCTTTTTATAGACCAATCCCTTCGATTTTCTTACCAGTGATTTATCATTCAATTATCTATCAACCCTGAAGATTTGAAGACAAAATATATAATACATGTTGATATATCCTCATTTCTGTGAAGGAGGTACGGGTACCCCGGGACCGACATTTACGTCACATATTCTGAAGATATTTAACATGCAATGCAGTTGAATGCAGGCTGAACAAAACAAACCATTATGGTCATGAATTACCCCATTTTGTTATGCCATAGTTGATTTTGAATATTTTATCAGCACTATGTGGTATTCATGCCACATTTATTCCACAGGGCCCTCTAAATAGTGCTACATGTACACAATTCCTCATCCTCTTAACTCAAGATTGTAAGACAAGGCTGAATCCATTCTCTGACATGGTAGCAAGATACAGTTGCATGGGTTGTTTTATTTAATCAATGTTAATAAACCTGCGTCTCCATATGTCTCTAACCTCTCTTTCTCTATAGAAATAAGTAGTATATAGAAATAAACAAGTCACATGTGAGCAGATGTGGACAATATAGTGCATTGCTCAATGGCTCAACTTTGAGGTCTATGGTATTGTTTTCTGAACATTTTGGGATCTATGGGCAGGTGCATTGACCATATGGAGTAGGGTGTTCCCTTCTCTCACCACCCCTTTCTTCCACAATGCTTTCTCAAATTGACCTGCAAACCCCTTCCATACAACACTCTGACATTACAATACTTTTTGTTTATATGTTACCAGTCAGCAAAAGAATTCAACCAATACTACACTTGTTGCACATAAAAAGTTCAAATCTAACTCAAATTTACCAAACTGGCTAAAAACTGAATATGTGACGTAAATGTCGGTCCCGGGGTACCTGTACCTCCTTCACAAAAATAAGGATATATCAACATGTATTACATATTTTGTCTTCCAATCTTCAGAATTGATAGATAATTGAATGATGTATCACTGGTAGGAAAATCAAAGGGATTGGTCAATAAAAAGTATCTGGGTAAAAAAGCGTCCATTACTTATTGATCACCCCTCGTATATGAGTGAGTAATATATGAGTTATAGAATGAGTGAGTAATACATGAGTAAATGAATGAGTGAGTAATAAATGAGTAAATGAATGAGTGAGTAATACATGAATAAGTGAATGAGTGAGTAATACATGAGTAAATGAATGAGTGAGTAATATATGAGCGATAGAATTAGAGTGAGCGGTGCATAAGTGAGTGACATTTGAGTAAAAGAATGAGTGAGTGATATGTGAGTGATAGAAGAGAATGAATGCTGACATTGATTGTAATGAGTTGACAAAATACATGCAACATGAGTATCATTCAACATCATATGAATTCTTTTCAACGTTTATATCGCAGGTTTGTGTATATCATCTCTGTCATTGCCATATATCTACTCCTTCAGATATCAATACTCTCTGGATAAATAATGTATTTCAAAGAAAACTTTTAGATAGTATCTGATACAGTTTGTTCCCATTTTGACACTATTAATTCATCAGATATAATATCGAGTCTCTATTAGTTCAAAAACGTATCAAATCCAGAAATGATTTGTGGCAAATCTTTAGAAAAACCAAATCATCCGATATTCTAGAATGAAAAGTGAGTGTGGAACTCCTGTGGATTCTTTGTGAATCTCAATTTTTGTAAATAATTGCCATGACCTTTTGTGTAACATCTGAGATCTTCACTCCTGGGATTAAAGGCCAACGAGAGACGCTTGTGATAGCTATTAGGTCTTATGCTTGAATCAAAATTGTTTGTTTTTTGTTAGCGTGAAGTTGCTTAAGGTTTGTTTGAGGTCTCCCATGTGGAATGTAATGTCCAAAATTGATGGCTTCATGGAGAAAGGCAATTGTTTAAAGACTCTGCTTCATTTCATATCTAACCATATTTTACCATGTTATTTTCTAGATATTACTACATTATCAGGGGTTCACTCATAATATCATAATATATGATTTCTGTTAAGCCCCATCTCGCAGGTTTTAGTGTAATAGCATCTCCATCATTTAATAGGAATGAATAGAAACATGATTTTGCCTTTCTTTAATTTGATCAGTGTTAATAATTTAAAGGATTTCTTTAACTTCGGTGATTTTTTTAACACTGGGGCTATCATCACACACCACGCTGTATTAAAGGATATTGACGTGATACAGTTTAGTATTAATGCTATCACCCCACTGTATAAGCATATTGACGTGATACAGTATATCAGTAAGACATTATTCTGGAACATGTCCTCTTTATTAAATCAAAAGAATTATCTTAATATAATTTGGGAGGCAATTAGCATAAAGAGACAAAGAAGAAGACAAATGTGAGACTACATAATTAAAATTCCCTTGTCATAACACCCTAGAAAAAAGATAATTCAACAAATTAGATAAGCTTCTCATAGTACATTGTACACATTAACATTAAAGGAATATTCCTTGCCAAACCATCTCTCTCCTCATATGGTAGCTATAACCATATATATGCTTGCTATGTTTAGCAAAACACGCAATTTTTTTTATATATGGTCAAATTTGATCACTTAGAAATGTGATGCTCAATTCCAGTAAGCTGCCATCTTTTAAAATTTCACACAGGAAGTGATGTCATCGACTCTCAACTTTGCATATAGCATTAGGTGAGGAGCTATTTAGAATTACAAAACCAGCTAAATATTCTTTTTCAACTTTGTATCTTATTTAATCCTTCTGAAAATCTCTTCTTTTATTCTAAGTTGACAAGCCCTGAAAATATTTTTGCACAAAAAGTAATGATCACTTGTCTAGAAGTGATTTTGTGCTACTTTCCTATACTGTTATGGGCAAGGTTATAGAAGTTGAGAGTTGATGACATCACTTCCTGCAAGAAATCTTAAAAGATGGCAGCTCACTGGAAATAAGCACTAGATTTTTAAATGATCAATATTGACCATATTTAAACATTTTCCCATGTTTTGCTAAATATGGAAACTATATATATGATTATAGCTACCATATCAAGAGAGAAAGGGTCTGGCAAGGAATATTCCTTTAAAATCATTTGCATCATAGTACACATTTACAGGGCGTTCAATAAGTTCTGATAAAAATGTTGTAACTTTTTTATTTTTTTTCATATTATTATGTTCTTCTTGAGGCAAAATAAATCACACCATCATACAGGGAATTCTCCATTCTGGTTTACCAGACTCTCACTTAGGTCGATCTGTCTTTTGTCATTCCACTTTGGAAAGACCAAGACAAAGGGGTGCGGTGATCGTGATATGAATTCCCTATTTTTGTGCTAATTTTTTCATCCAAGATGAATATTTTGGATTTGTAAGCTCTTCAATCTTTTGTCACTTTCAATAAAATATGGGACAGTGAGTCTGTCCTAGATAACCACATTATATCAGGATTTTCCCCTGAGATTACGGATTTGGGAAGTTAGCATATGGTTACTGCAATAATATTTAAATCTATTGAGTTAGGCTGAACAGTGCCTTGGATCCATATCAATATAACAATTAAATCAAATAATTGTGATTACATTTAGACAATACCCATAATGATGTCGTATTGTTTGCCTAATACTACACACTGATCCAATATATCATAATTGACATTTATTGGCTATAATAGGGATTTCTTTAGAAATCCTGAATGTGACAGTAACTGGGCTTATGAATGGTAGTGACATCTTTGTATCTTACCTTTAGATAATATTGGGAAATTGGGGATTCAGTTTTCATTTTTTATAGATCGTTGATCAGTCTAACTATAGTATACATCAATATAATAATTATAACAGTTTTTTAAAAAAGTAGAATTGCAAATAATTAGTTATTGAGTCCTCTCTGAAGTCATGAGCATATCTTAAGAGTTAGAGTACAGTAAGAGTTAGGGCACAGTAAGAGTTAGGGTGCGGGGTACAAGGTGAGATTGTCAGATAAAGATATATTATATGACCACAAGCCAAAAAATTAATATAACAATTTTAATTTTGGCATCATACTAGTCAAGTACTTTACATATAAAAAATTCTTGGGAGAAGAACTATTAAATGTCCAAAGTCTGAAAAATTTCTTGAGACATTATATTGAAGTTGCCACATCTAGTCAGTAAGAATGTGAGTAGATGAATGTCTAGTTTGGGTAAGTATATTTACAATTACACATAAGCACATGACATACACAATCCAAAACACAGTACCACATCCAAAAATATAAAAACAGTCTTTGTAGCATGATATTACATAAGCTGGGTGTCCATCTTATATAATCAGATTAATATTAGTCAAATGAATAATACATGTCTAATTGTAAATGTAATTATCTAAGAATGAATAATAAAAAAAAATTAAATAAAAAATAAATCTTAAAAGTTTTTTTATGTCACCGCCAGAAGTGGTGACATATTGTTATAGTCTCTAACTTTTTGTGGCTGGGTTTGTATCTGTAACAAATGGCAGGTATTGACATTTTGCATGTTAATGCCTTAATTTACTTTTCTGTTTGTGTCATACAAGCCTTAACCATTGTTCAAGGAGCAAGAGTGTTAGCTCTGTCGCATGGTGTTTATATAATACAATTAATATTCATTGTACTGATACCACTTAAATATTTCAGTTCCAAGGCCAAGCCCACCTACCAATCTGACCGTCCATAAAGTCAAAGATGGACTCCACATCAAATGGGTCCCACCACAGAACTCCTCTACTCAGGTGAGGCACTAATCCACAATATATTTACATCAAGCCTCTATATATCCCATTCTCTTTTTAACAAAACAGGATGGCTAATTCTCAGGGTAGGGTGAATTAAGCCTCATTCACATTTGCTCTAATGCAGATGTACACTTACCATATCTTCGCAAAATCGATATAGAAAATCTAAATTGTATTGCTTATCCCTACATTTTATGCTGTATATTTCTCTTGATTTTGGGAAGCTACGTCCACTGTACAGTTGCCTTAGATCAAATGTGACTGAGGCATTAAGCACATGTTTGCACATGACTTAAGTTATGCTGCCTGCATGTCGAAGGAGGCTCAGAAGATTGCTTATTCTACTAAAACTAGCTTAGAATCACTTATGGTACAGAATCACTCATGGTACACTTAGTCCATCTCTTACTGTCTCAGAAAATCTAAATGAAAATTTTTGAAGAGGGGTATATCTTTAACGTTGAAATTTTAAACTCTGAATCGTGTTAACCTCTTTGAAGATAAGATGTTGAGCCTAATACAATGTTTTTAGGTCCTGTACTATAGACTGGAGTACAGAGTGAGAGAGAAGGGAGCTACTTGGACGCAAGTCAATACTCACGTAGGTAAGTCAATACTTTATAATTCAAAACTTATGTATGCAAATAGTCGAATAGGAAAGTTAATACTCTCAGAGAAAGTCAAAACTCATGACATCTGCAAGTCAGTTCTCAGATAGTTAGTCAATACTCAACATTGATGAGTGGATACTCACATAATCAAGTCAATACTCACAGAGGTAAGCCAATACTCACAAAGGATGAGTCAAGATATTTGCCCTTATCATGGTCCCTCACTTAAATGTGAAATTTTGTAATTGTTGATATAAGTATTTGATAAGTGTATGCACTTTTCCCCTCGAGTTTTGATTGCAGTGCCATAACCCTGTATGCAGACTCTAGTTATGAAAGACGAAGCTCTCTTTTAAGAAGTGAAGCAAACGACTGCAAAGGGTACAGTGTCATATCATTTGACCCCCAACGATTCAAAGCCATACACTCTTATATTACAGGTAGCCAGATGGCCTCATTTCTCTGGACCAGTCCACCCAGTGGGAAGGAGCTGGAGTTCCAAGTGATATCATTCAGTCGCTTATCTTTTAGCGACCCTAGTGTAACTGCTGTATTTACCACAGGTTAGTCTCACTTGTATTACATAACAAACAACAAAATTTATATGAAATTGCTTTTTTATTGCACTTACATAGTGTTATATATTATCTTGAGCTCATGGGCATGCCTACGTGTGGGTGAGTGAAGATCTCATGTCATCAAGGTAGCAAGAAAATCATTTGTCTGTTTAACTAGCAAATCAATCGTTAAAGTAGACTAAAAATGTTTTGTATGCCATAGGTACTGCATGATATGTTTTATTGAATTTTATTTCTTTCAAATACTGGTAGTTGATGATGATATCCTTAATTTATTGTTTTCCAGAACCTGAGTATGGTCGTATGACTATGTCAACTACTGCCCTGTGGGCCCTGCTAGGTGCTTTAATATTCATCATTCTCCTCATTGTGCTTATATGTGTCATATGTAAACTATACAAGAGGCGCAAAAGGAAACAGAAAAAATATGGTAAGTGAATATATCTTTGGTAGTCTTCCGTCAGGTCCATATGTTCTTCACGCCCACGCCATCTTTAAACACCTTTCCTTAAAAATCAGAATTATGCGGAATTAAAGGATGGGGGGGATTGTGTAGTGATTACCATAACCCTCCTTTTTGAGGAGAGGGGGAATGGGATATATGGACCTGATATAAGCACTACTATGAGTCAAACATGAGTTGAATGAGTTATGGGAGAATCTAGACCGGTTATATTTTATTTCTTGAATGCCCTATTTCTGTTGGGTCCATCTTACCTCCTTTGTTGGTGTGATTTGTGATGAGTGTTTTCAATTTAATCATTTCAGTTTTATCTGTTAGTGTTAAAGTGTTGAATGATCCTTAATGTATTCCTGTTGATGGTTGTAAATAGAACATGTTCATAAGTTGGAATTATTTAAAGGAATTGATCTTGGATTAAACTCAGTTGAAGAAATTCTCATGTACAAATGAAAGATGCCTTATAAAATCTTAAGATCAAATATCTTTAAATGATCGTAAAATCATGTTTCCATCCACTTAATGGGTCATGATTTATAGTACTTTGACACCTTCATTTCTTAATATTTGAATATTTCACAGTTTTTCTTTGAAATATTCTAAAAATATTAATGTTTGAAGTGGTTGACATTTATATCTGTCAATTTATTCCAGATAATCAGTGTTTATTTTCATGTTTATTTTCATTGCAGGCGACATTAAATACTTAGGGCCAAAATCTCTTGATAACAGTAATGGAAAAGCGTAAGTTTCTTTTGGTTGTGTTATAACTCATACTAACCATTTTTACAGATAATTAACATAATGAAAGAAAATGTTTTATTAACTTAACCTTTTTGAGGCAGTAGGTAAACTTTTATGTGCTTGCTATATCTGAGGCCATTTCTTGAACTCCATATGTTTCTGCCATTTTTATGAATATAATTGATTGGATACAATTAGTTTTACTACCAGTTGGCTGGCTACCTTGGGTCTTATGTCAGTACATTTGAAAAGATCTGATTGAATCATACATAAAAAGATCTTAATAGATTTAGCAGATCACTTATACCATCTAAAATAACAGATTAATATTTACTGTAAACATTGAAATACAGTTGAATCAATGAACAATTGTACATCCTGGTCTTTTGAGAAATAGCCTCACGTATCTATGATCTAATAACTCGGTTATTCTGATAATGAGAGTATTAATGTTTTCTATTATACTGCATTAACCATATTTGCTCATTTTTCGCTAACAGAGGTACGATTAAAGGTGAAAATCTCTATGGTACATACCTTATATACAAATATTTACATTACATTTGCTTTTAGATTGTATTCCAGGAGAGGGCATTGAAATTTCAGTATCATGACAAGTGTTTTGATATTTTTCTGAATTAAAGTCAGTTCAATGTTATACTATTATATATAAAGGCCACTAAGTCACATACTAAGCCTGCATAGCTCCTATACAGAACCTGCATAACACCTATACAGAACCTGCATTATAACACCTATGCAGAGCCTGCATAACACCTATACAGAACCTGCATAGCACCTATACAGAGCCTATATAGCACCTATACAGAACCTGCATAACACCTATACAGAACCTGCATAACACCTATTCAGAACCTGCATAGCACCTATACAGAGCCTATATAGCACCTATACAGAACCTGCATAACACCTATACAGAACCTGCATAACACCTATTCAGAACCTGCATAGCACCTATACAGAGCCTGCATAACACCTATGCAGAACCTGCATAGCACCTATACAGAGCCTATATAGCACTTTAACAGAACCTGCATAGCTGCTAATTACCCCCACCTGCATGCACCTGTTCTACTCTAGGTGTTGCGTGAAGTGATGTGATAGATACATGGTCACGTAGTGTAATATCCTCTGTTTTTCTTTGTGGGCAATCAACACTGGTTCATGGCTTCAATGTCTGTTGTTTCAATTTGTAATCATTTGCAGGTGATGATATTTTGTCTGGCTCAGATGCCTTGCTTAAATTGCTTTATCAAGTCATCAACACTTTGTCATGATACTGAGCATTGTACACCTCTCCTCTGTAGTATTGCATGCTTACAGCTTACACATTTAAATATTAGATATATTTAATACATTCATTTGATTAAGCATTTATTTATTAGATTGGTTAAATTATTAAAGGTAGTATTAAAAAAACAAAGTTATATTTTTAATTTTGTTTTTAAAAATCAATTATATTGTGATGAGAATAATTTGGTTCTATTATTTTTTAATAATTTTTATTTTTTACGACATTTAACAATATTTTTTATTTCTGCATTGTTGTTGTCTGTTTTAATCATAATACATGCTATTTTTTATTTAAATGTGTATTCATTAAAACATTCAGCATGATTCAGTGGATAATTTTTATTACCCTGGTAAAAGATACAATACTAAGAAATTACATTTAAAATGTGAGATACTGTGAAAATTGTGCATCTTTTTAAAGACGATAGTCAATATCATTTATAAGATCTAGATTAGCATGAGAATGTATCAAATTTAAACTCATCCCAATATTTGCACCTCTTAAATATAATTATTGATTTTTCAGGGAAGGTGACCAATCATCATACTATGCCAGAGATCCAGACTCTGGAGGCCGTTACGACAGTATAGATGGCAGCAGTACACAGCGGGTATTCACAATACAGGACGAACAGACAGACTGGATGCATGATAAAGATAATGTATTGCTAGCAGAGAAGTTAAACTTCACACGAAACAAGAATATTTTCAATAGGAATTTCCTACAATACGATACGGAAAAGTTGCGGAGAGGGAAACGAAATCCTCAGTATGAGGTTGCCATGGAGTATCAGCATCCAGTGAGTGTAATTCAGCGGAGTGCAGATGGTAGATTTGTCCTAGATGACAGAAATGTTCAGCCACAGTTTATTGAACGAGGGTACAATGTAAATGATGTCATAACTGAGCCAGGAGTGCGCTTTCTGGACGTGAGGAGAGAATATGATAACCAAAGTTATCACCACTACGAGAATATTCCTGCTCAACAAGGATTGGGTTTTTACAGTCACCAAGGGGTGAATAAACCCCCTCAACCCAGAGTTAATGGCCCCATTTCCCAAGATGAGCCCACCATGCTTCAACGGTACCATTCCCCAGGAGCTTCTGGCCGGGGACGCCATGTAGCATTTGACACTAGTAATGGATATAGAAATAACAATTCACCCTTGGGGCCTAGACATTATAGACAGTCAGAGCCTCATGGGAAGCAACCATTATTAGATCTAACCCCTACTGGGCTACATTCCAACTTAAACAGTGTCCCCTCAAGGAACAATGAAACCTTGGAAATCAGTGAAGCTCAGGGAGATGATAGTCAGATAGTCCTCCTGCCACCCAGAAGTCTTCCCCGACAGAGTACAATGAAGCCTGGCCTAGATAGGAGTATTAGGTCCATGGACAGGACATTTATGACTAGTAGCCCGGACATTGAGGCTAGTAATCCAGGGAATGCAACAATGTTTGCGCCAGACAGTTTAAGCACTGTGTACCCATCACAGTCAGGATCCTCATCAGATCAAACCAGACTCTTGTTATTGCATAGTGATGCGTCACAGCTGCCATCATCTATATCTGTGAACCCCTCTGATTCCTCGCACCCCTCTCAAGGTAGTTCACAATCCAGGTTAACTACACAGTCCTCTCACCCCTCTCAATCTAGTTTGCAACCTATGTTGCCTAACCAATCCTCAAACCCCTCTCAGGTCAGTTCACAATTCAGGTTACCAGCTCAAATGTCACACCCCTTCCAAAGGAGAGCATTACCCACATTGCCACATCAACCTCAAAATTCACCGAATCATCAGCCATTACAGTCTACGCAACAACACCATCAATATCTGAGACAACAACATGAAATTTCTAAAAAGAATAGTCTAAATCAGAGTCTTTCTCCATATATTAAACAGCGTAATGCACTGGAGGGTCATAAGGCCCACAACTACAGTGACTCTAGCTCTAGCACCAGTAGTCCACCCAGAGGGTACACAAGAGACAAGCTACAGAGGGTGGTGGATAAGGTGCGAAGTGGCCCCAGGGTATTACGCACGAGAGGGATTTACAGACCTGGTCCCGATACACCCCAGAGTGATACATTCTCCAATTACCCCACCCCTAGTAGCGGGGGTCGGATCACTGCTACATCAGATAATACGCTTCAAGATACAGTCCTTGAGGCATCCTCCAATAGGACATACACCCCAAATATGTTTATGGGTTCTAGTGAGGGTTTAAGGAGGAGACCTGGGGGTAGGTCACATAGTGCAGATAGGGCCTCCAGGGTCAGTGACTCCTACACACCCCACATAAGGTCTAGCAGTGAGGGAAGGACCCAGAGAAATGTCCCTAAAGATTTATATGATGGGGGTTATAGCATCAAAGGAAGGCCACCCTCAGGCCTAGAAAAACCCAGGATCTCTCTTATGTCGCTTTCAGGGTCAAGCGAGAGTGTTAAGAATGGTGTATTTAGTCCAGCAAGAACTGCCCCCAGAGGACATTTGAGGCGTTCCATTGACCATTCACCTGATAGTAGTGGACTTGGTAGTGCGTCAAACTCTCAGAGCACTTCCCATAATACATCTGGCTCACGTAGCGGGTCCTCTCCAGGCCAGGTCACTGCATCATTGAGCTCTAGTCTCACCCCGCCTGACCCCAATATCAGTATGGAGTCCTCCCCTTTCTCATCTGAGCAAAGCCCACATAATCACCATAGGGACATATCAGGTGATGAAAACTATGAGTTTGACCCTGTAAATGCTCTTGAGTCTGAACTGATCGATGCATTGCGATCCTACCAAAGACACCCTGATGCCGATCGTGAATTTGTACAAACATTGGAACGTAGTGTACTTGAGAGTTCATTCAATGCCTCCCCACCCCCTCCTCCTGACCCCCAGGAGGCAGAAAGATTTGCCAAATTACGCGAGGAATACCAAGAGTTTCGAAGGAGCCAACAGGCTCGTAGCAGACAAGATTACAGAGTGCTGGAGAGTGACACATTATAGGTGTCAGAGGACATGTTTTTGTAAAACGTCCCATAAACACAGGGACTATTTAGATCCCATCCATCTATGAGTTTGATCCAGGTATCATTAGCTTAATGGGGGACCTAACAATGTAGTCACTCATTTATCTATGATTCTGCTCTCATATTTCTGGTACTATGGGGTCTGAATAGGACCACTGTACATAGGATAATAAGAAAATTAAATTGACTTGCCTTTCAATTTGGCAATGTATATATTTACCATGTTCATTGTTCCTAACCAGAATGGAATATATACTTTATACAGTAAAACCTAGTGTTCCCAATGTAATTAGATTTCTGACATCTAAAAACTCAATAATTTTTGAGTTAATACCAATTTTAACTGGTCAGTATCAGTAGAAGGTAACAGCTGTTATCATCTCTTTCAAAATGGTGAATGGTAAATGTTGATTTCGATAATATAAGTTTTCATCGAATAAACCAATTGCCTTGGAGATTTGGCTTTAACATTTTGACAACACCAAGCTTGCAAGACAATCTGCAAGGTGATAAATTAATGAGTTAGGAACTATTTATCAGATTGCATGGTTGCTGTGTCAACATGGCTACCAAATACTTCTGAATCAATATGTTCATGTTTCTTCAGAATCCAAAATCTTTGGAATGCAAAATCCTAAATATGTGAACACCTCCTTATACAAATGCTTTTAGCCGTTCCCAGTGGCATAAGGATTAGACAGATTCTGCTGAAGTTTAATTGATGAAAACTAAAAAATTGAAATCAACACCTTCCACCGTTTTTATAAAGGTTACCTTCTGCTGGTATTGACCAGTGAATTTTGTTTCTCAAATGTTCCAAAGCTGTTTAACTTACATCGGTTAGTTCGAATGTAAGTTAAAGAGGGTGATGCTTATGAAATACAGCAATTATAAAATTACATCCTAGACAATGTTGTGAATTATGATTCATGAAATTAATTAGACTTTTATGAAATTTCTGTGGTAAACTAGTTTGGTTTAAGGAATTTAATTTACATAACGTTTGAGGAACAGACCTCTATCATTCAACAGATGTCAGGTTTCAGAATTTCTTGTAGATTGATAGCTAAAAAGTTGTAAAGAAAAATGGTAAATAATGTTATAAATTGAAACATAATGATAATGTGGAAAACTGTCATCACAGCAGTGTTTACTTAGAAGTGTACAGATAGATTTTATAGATTACATGTAAGTCCAACTCGGTGTATAAACTTATAAGCAGACTTCAGAAGAGTCTATAAATAATAGAATTGTAGATATGTAAAGTATGTAGATAACATTGACTTGGAACCAAATATTATCAAAGATGGTTTTACCGAGTCTTGAAGTGTGGAAAATTAGGTTTAATACCAATAGAAATGCACAATGTCTCTCTCCCTTTCCACATCCCTACCCAGACCTCTATGAAGACAATGGGGGGGGGGGGGAAGATCACTGTACATATAGAAAACCAATAGCACTAAATGAAAGATGCATTTGCGTCAGTCTTTGTTGAGGCATTATTTGACATTGTAACTGTACAGAGTGTAGCAAAGGTTTAATTTTTCCACATCTCAAAACTTGTCATACCTGAGAAAAGTCAATTGCAAGGCGTATCTGATGTATAAAGGCAATTAAGTCTTGGTCGTGCACCAAGACCCTCTATAGACACTGATTTAAATATGTTTTATTAACAATTGATTATTATGTTTTACTTGTGTTGCCCTTTGGCCTCAGTTTGCATTCCATATCTTTCAGGTTAGAACATTTTCAATAAAATTAATTTAACAGAGATCTCTATTATTTAAGTATGTGTACATTAAATTATTTATTTTGTAAAAATTGTTTTATTTTATTATGTTAAAAGCTACACCATTTATGATGTTGCAATTACAAAAAAATACTGAAGAAATGTTAACACTAGATTTTTGTCATTGCACACTAGTATGTTACTATGAATAGTATTATTGTACGGCATTGTGAGGAGGGATGTCTGTTAATAATAACAACTTAGATTTTAAAATTGTCTGTTCGCGACAGATATGCTACAGACACGTGTCAATTGCCACTTTGTGGAGTTCAATAGTTGTGTATATATTTCATGTTGCTTAAATATTAATGAAATGTGTTCATTTCTATACCTACCTCACTCATAAACACTATTTATATTAATTTATATTTTGTATAACACTAAGTTGATGGCACCATCATACTAGTGTTACATAACACTAAGTTGATGGCACCATCATACTAGTGTTACATAACACTAAGTTGATGGCACCATCATAGTAGTGTTACACTACAGGTTTAACTGTATTTTATACACACAAGTGTTCACATTGGAAAGGTTCACTTTACGTGCATTAGTTTAAAATTTGTTTCATTAGAAACTAATTGGCAATTTAATTTGGTGGATTTAAAAAAAAAACCATAGCATTGAACTTATTATGATTAAGGTAGTTGTTCACTGGTACTTAAAGGTCCCATGGTATAGCATAGGAGAGATGATTTGACAAGACTGTTTAGCTTTAGGATATCAGCTTTAGGATATAAATCGTAAAACCATATTTTGAAAAATGAGTTATGTACTTATTATGAATACATTACCTTGATGGATTTAATGAATTATTCTCAGTAATGGCATTTCTAAATTTCATTAAGAGCTAAGAGTGAAAATGTGTTAAATACTGACTCCATAAATAAATTACAGTATAATGAAATGTGTTATCTCAAAGATGATGGCAAACTACTTAAACAAAGTATAGTTCATTGTCTTCATTGTTCAAAGTTTCATTTTGGTTGTGCATTGCCCTTCTGTCATTATTTGAGACTGTTTGAAAAATATAATCTTCATTGATACATACTAGATAAGTTATATGTAAAATATTTCCAGTATATGCACATAAACTGTAGTATGTAGTGTAATATATTGTACATGTTTAGTGTAAAGTATTGTATATGTATGCATGTTGGTTTTATAATAAAATGCAGCAATAAATCTTAATTTTGATATAAAAATTGAACACTGTGTTGTTTAACTTTTATAATATGCGCATCATACTTTTCAACGATAGCTTCACAAACTACAAATGGAATTGAAATTACAGTACTAGACTTTATTACACAAAATAATCTAATATCTATACAGATATGTACATTTTATACAATAAATGAGTGACATTACATACAATATGAGATATAATCACCACTGTTCTCCATTAGTATGACAAGCAACACCTTCAACTAGGAATCAGAAAAACAAGCACAAGAAATAAGTCTATTAGACTTTACACTGAATCAAATTATCAAACTGCTCTTCACAGCTACTATTGTATGTGAAACTTTTGGACTTATGGAAAAGAAAATGATAATTATTTAATTGTCCCATCCAAAGACTTCACAATAATTTGGATTGGCGTTACACATGTTTCACTCTAAATATCACTTTTTAGACATTAACCCATATAATTGGAAGTGTCCTAGTTGATCTAAAAAATTGAAATGATGAGTTTCTCTTCATTAACCTGTTGAATTACAGTGGCATTTACTCATATTGTGTTAACTAAAATAGCTTATGTACATTGCGCATGTATGCTCTCTGCTCTGTGCATCGAGGGCTTATTAGACGGACCTTAATCCATAGTTGTGTAACGCAAGGCTTTGATAGAAGTGGTGTTATACGAGACTATTATGGATGGGTTGTTACACAAAGCTTAATAGAAGGGACACAAGGCCTTATTGTTACACATCTATTTAGGCCTTGTGTTTCACACCCTCTATTAAGATATTGTGTTAACCCCCTATTCAGGCCTTGTGTTACATCCCTCTATAAATGCTCGAGTTTCATCCCTCTATTAAGGCCTTGTGTTACACCCCTATTTTTGTGCCTTGTGGTACAATTCTTCTATTAATGCCTACTAACCCCCTCCCCTCTAACCATCCACACAGGCAGAGTAGAGAGAAACACTACTGTTTCTACATATTCGTTCCAATTGACTTGACCTGTAATATCCGAGTACACTATTCATGTTTAGATACAACAATCAGTACAAATCCAGATTACACATTCAATTACAATATTTTTCAATCTCAACATAAAACACATTCATTCATTCATTATTAATTAAGTAGGTTGAACTAAAATTAAAATGTATTATTTACAAATACTGTACTTCCAAGTATTTTCATCTGCTATCACTTTGAGCTAATAAAAAAGTATGACATGCCTTCAGTGGACACTGATATCAGATTTGAAAGAACCCATTCAATTTTTTGTTTTTATAAGAATTGCCTTTGTTCATATACACACTGAGCATGTTACACATAGGTGTCCCTAGTTTGAAGACACTGCATTTTAGAAACTTTTAATGAGAGAAAATTTTAAGAAATGAAAAGCACGAAATAAAATAGCGCCAACAATTATCCGGAGTACAGTGTACAGCCTTAGCACAAATTTGGAAATTAACAAGCAGTCCTACTAATTATAATATAATAAAAATAATATTATGATGTGATAAAATATACAAAAAATGTGGTGCTGTTTAGTTAACATACAAAGGGTGAACTATCCCTACTACATTGTGCATTGTCTAATTATGATGATTATTTAAAATATCATAGTAGCTCATGATTATATTAAGTTGTTTCACTGTTAAATCCCATCAGTTGTTGATCAATTAATGATTAATCATAATAATAATTAATTATCCCTGCACTATTCTTCCTTTCTCCAACTAGATTTAGGATGTAGAAGGTGATTAAACATATTCACATGGTACCATCTTGAGCTAATTTGGCACACCCTTTTATTTTGATAAATTGGGCAATTTGAAGTTTGCCAATTTACACATTTATACTAAGGTAAATCCCAAGGATTTTTTATTTTCATAAATCTCTGATTCTTAAAAACATTTCTGGCTATAGAGATGATTGCATGGTTTAAAACCACTGGTGATTCTCTTTTCCATATCTAAATGAAGGTCCATTCAAAGTCGGCTGTTGAATCTTTAAAAGCCAGGTTTAGACTGAGGATTGAGTCAGGAATTCCTTTAAAGAGTGCCAAATTAACTAAAGTAACAGTAAGCACAGGCCTCGGCCATCTTATTTTAAGCTTACCTACAACGGTTACAAGTTACTATGCAATCTGGATTTTCACTTACTACAAGATTATCAATGAGGCAGAAATTGTCACTAAAATGGCAATATTGAACAAAGTTCAATTTGCATTCAATATTCCAAAGCACAAATATTTCTCAAAATCTCATCAATAATATATAATTTATAAACACATCTACAAAACCAGGAAAAACATGAATATCATTCATGCATTGTAAATTGTTTACGTCTAAAACTAATGTTATTATATTCATCCAATACAAAGTTGCATAAGACATAGTTGAGACACTTTCTCTGTGTGAGTAACTGAGCCATTTAGAAATGAACTCAGTGTCTATAACTCTGTTGTTGCCATGGTTGCAGTGGAGGCTGTTGTTGGCCAAATTGCCGTTGTTGCCATGGCTGTTGTTGTGCTGTGTTATACCCACCCCTAGACATCATTTGCTGCTGCTGAACTTGATGCATCGCTAACATTGCATTCTGCTGGGCCAAAACACGTTCGCGTTGTTGATCAATATCTGATCTAACAAGGGATTCCTGAGGGGGTTGGTCAAACCTACTGGCTCTATCAGTAGACTGTATGTACATAGTATCACTACCCTGCCTTTTGTGATTCCTATTTGTTCGGGACTGTTCATATGGACCGTTGCGATCATCACTTTCTCTTCGACTGTTCCGGCTATTTCTATCAGGTCCATTTCTGTAATCACGATCTGTATCACGACTACTGCGACGACTATCTCTTCTATTGTGGCGGTTATCTCTATCTGATTGTCGATCATCGTAATCATGTCGATACTCAGGTGTGTTATTGCCACTGTTTGTTGGACTATTATTGCTATAGCCCTGGTTAGCATTCTGGGCCTGTGCCATATTGGGCCATGTGCTAGATTTAGGGAGGCCTGGTTGGGGTGGCATCATCTGACCATGCGGCGCCATACCAGGACCATTGGAACCCCTGGAATATTGAACAAATTTGAGAATATACTGATGGTGTAATATGAAAAATATTTAACAATGTAGGGGATATAATGACCGATGTAGAGGATAAATAAGGATAAAGTACTCAGAAGTTTACAACATAGGGGTTAACCCTGAGTAACATGAAGATCCTGAGGAATAGGTCTATATACAAAATTGTTATTATTAATTGGAAGACCCCCTTTTGGGGATATTATCCACGAATAGGAATTAATAAAATGAATTGATTCAAGTCATCCACCCTACCCCCCTCTGTAGCCTGTCTGTCCCTATGGTAAGAATTTTAAAAATAGGAATTACTTTAATTTAACTGCAATAGTTCTATACATGTTGTGGTGTATATGTTGTGGTGTTCCCAAAAATATGTACACTGTATAACATTGCCACATACTTGACACATTGAACAAGGTTAAAGATGTATTGAAAAGGGAGGAATAGTCTATCACCATCAAATTCTACACTTTAGATGAATTAAAAAGAAACAAGTAAAAAGTATGGACATTTTTGCAAGTCCTTAATGGGGATGGAACAGTTGCCTAAAAATGTCCAGTGCTGTGACACTTGGCTTTTGTTTCGGAACTTGAAGCATGATGCAGCAGTTTCAAAATAAAAGAGGATATCAATTTCAGTATTTAATCAGATCATAAGCAAGCTATTCTGTCCAAAAATCATTTAAACCATGGGCTTTCTCTTGGAAGATCCAACTTCAAACTGATTATTTTTGAGTATTATAATATGTATATGTTCTAAGTTTTCAAAAAGTATTAAGTTATTATTAATGTTAATCTTATCAGAAATTATTGTTCTATGACCTTAATCAATTATGTTCCATTCCAAAAATTTCCGTACCAAGTTTTTTACTCTGCCCAATTTTTAGTCATTAATAATAAGCTTTTGATGATTGAAAGTTGCTTACCTATTTGGTGCTACATCGCTACCTCGGGGTTTAATCCTGAGATTTTTTCCAAACATTCTGATTCCATTTAACATTTCAATGGCATATGGCACAGAAACTTCATACTTGAAAGTGATGAACCCAAACTGCTTTTGTTTCTGTGTGACTTTATCCTTGGGTATGTGTATTCTATCTAATGGTCCCATCTATATAAAGTAAAAAATAATTTGAGGATACTAAATATCAACTTGTAAAGAAAAGTTGAGGCTAAAGTAGATAAATTATTTTTAAGATTTTTTGTAGAAGGATGAGATGACCAAGACTATTTATTAATAAATAAATAAATAAAAATAAATAAATAATTTTATGAATTATGTAAAATCAGAGAAAATGATTTGGGTTTCCCTGACCATAGGGCATTGGCGATGAACAAGACTTATTCACACCATAAATCACTATTATAGAAACCAGTATAGTACCTGTAGCTTGTTTCTGTACCATTCTTGTTCAGGCACTAATGCAAATTATTCTCTAGAGTTTAAAGTATACAGGGTCACCAACGAAAAATATTACTTTTTCAAAGGAATCTTCATGAATTTGTATGTAGATAGCGTGCAATTCAAGAAACAATTTGCACATGTTCTTGCATAGCATCAATGACTTTCAGCTTTAGAGGCATCATGTTTTCCCTGAAGGCACGCTTAAATGACACCAGACCACTCAAAAATGTTTAGTTTAAGAATTCTGTTTTCTTATAATTTACCTAGCAAGTCAATTCGTCATCATATTTGACAAAATCATTTTAAAAAATGGGTAGATAGGTCATGACTAGACTATATCCTCTAGTCTGAAATTTTTTTGAAATTTGGAATGAAAATATTCAGACTATAGCCCACATATGTTAAAATATGGGATTGAAAATTATTTGTTTATATAGGAAGTGGCATTCAAAATGGCCAATTGGGCAAATTAATTTGCATATTTGTTACTTCTCCTAGCTTTATTTCCATTTGACAGTATGCTGTGTTACTTTTTATACCATTTAATTGTACCTTACTACTTAATTGAATTGTTATAATGCTTATTTTTTGGAAGTGAAGTTTCCTAAAATTTATTATTGTGTGCAGGGAATTTCCTGTTTTTTCCCACAGGAGAGACATAATGATGAATAGACTGAATTCTCAGGAAATTCAGTCTATTGGATATAGACTAGGTCATGACAAGACTTGCAACTTCCCACATTTCATGCATTGTTTCAAGTATTGCATTGGGTTTTAAAATTGGAGAAAAAATGTTCCTGTACACATTCCAAGAAAAATCTTATTTTGTACCTTTCATGTATGATTTAATGAAATAACTAAAAACTAAAAAGTTCATAAATAAGTGCTCATTTCAAGTTGAGTATTGAAGAAAATCATATACCAATCAAGTTTATAAATAAAATTTGTGCATGCATTCATATTTATAAACAAACCAATCTGAGATAACCCAATATCAGTCAGAGAAATCTGACGATCTACAGAAACTCGCTTCAAAAAAATCAAAAGTGCCCTGCCCTATCTAAGATTTTCAGTATAGATAAAGTCTTTTGTGATCTTTCGAATGCGTTAAGGTCTCATGGAAGTTAACAGGAAGTGACAAAACAAAAAATGACAAAGCCATGCTGGATTTTGAAAATTTTTTGAACCAAGATAACAGAGTTCTGTTTGGACCTCCAGTCAGTTTAACTAGTTCCACATATCATTTACATGACCAGGAACACAGTTGAAATGGTCAGAATGACCATAAACATGATAGAATAACCTTTTCAGCCCTCTGAAAATGTGACTAAAAAATAGCTAAGAGTAGGTGCTCAGGAAAGGTCACTGAACAGAATCTTTTGACTTTTTCAGAAAATGTGCCCAATATATTGCTCTAAATTATACAATTCAAAAAAATTTGATATCATTCTTAGAAAAAGAAAAAATTGAAAAAAACTGAATTGAAAATCGATCTATTTTCCTTTTTACTACAGCCATTATTGTTTCAGACGATTTTTTAAAATTTCAAAGATTGTGTCATTTAGAGCAATATATTGGACACATATTCTGAAAAAATCAAAAGATTCTGTTCATTGACCTTTCCTGAGCACCTACTTTTAGCTATTTTTCAGTCACATTTTCAGAGGGCTAAAAAGGTTATTTTATCATGTTTATGGTCATTCTGACCCTTTCAATTGTGTTCCTGGTCATGTAAATGATATTTGGAACTAGTTAAACTGACTGGAGGTCCAAACAGAACTCTGTTATCTTGGTTCAAAAAATTTTCAAAATCCAGCATGGCTTTGTCATTTTTTGTTTTGTCATTTCCTGTTAACTTCCATGAGACCTTAAGTCTCTATTTTGAAAGACAATCGTATCAACTTGAACAAAAGTTGAGTTTTGAAGAAAAATTGGCAAAAAAATTTTCATGCGCAGAAGACCCATTTTCGTAATACTGTAACCTCCTTCAAATATAGATCTATCACAAGCAGAAGAGATATCTCAAAAATTGTGCTAAATATTTCCACTCTAACCTTTAATTGTCCAATTAGTATTGAATATATTGTAGATTAATAAGAAAATGGAAAAGTCCATATTATATCCTGAAAACATAACAAAGAATTATAAATAACCAAATCAGTTTGTGGTAAGCTTTTTTAGTGGGCGATAATATGTTATTTATAAATTCTACCTGTAAAAACAACTCATATAGTAGCTCTTCGGTCACATTTTCGTCGAGATTACCGCAGTACAGAGTCCTTTCTTTCTCATCATCCATATTTACAACCATAATATACTACAGGAATAGAAATAAAGCGATTTTACTAAAATAAAAAAAGAATGGATTTAAACCGGAAATGCTTTTTAAAACTTACGGACTGAAGTATAGAGCTTTCATCAATATTTCATTTTTAAAGAATTATAATTAATTCACAGTATATGGGAGGACTTCCAATATTATATTCTATTCATCATCATCATCACTTATGATTCTACAAAATTTTTATCAACTTTTCATTTTATGACAAGATGAGTCACCACAAATTTCCCAAACTTTCAAATTCTGATGTTTGCTCTTTTGCGTAAATTTTTTCCTAAACCCGAAGCACTACAAGCCTACAGCTCTACAATGAGTGATGTAACAAAAAAAGATGGCCGAAGTACCCCTTCAGACAAGGACAGACTCGTTTGGGTGGACTGTGAGGTAATATATTTGAGAAGACGGAACATTTTATTTTCACTTTCGTTTTGATGTTCAAGAAAAAGAAGAACAGACTGTTGGATGGAACACTTTTTTATTCAAATGTAAACAATAAGAGAATATCAGACAATCTCACATTCAAAAACTCGAAACCTTTGCAGTAATATTAATTTGAATATGACTGCATTTACTATTCAAGCCTTTCCATAAACGGTAAACAAAGTCAACAGAATTTTTTTCCATGGATAGATCTACAAATTAAAATCAATTAAAATACCTTACCTGGCCTGTACTAAGTGTCACATTCACAGGCCTGTCAACTGTCCCGCAATTTGCGTATTTGTCACGCATTTGCTGAAGAATTTGAAGTCATCAAAGTTTGGCAAAGGTGCTCAAACTTTGGCCAAAGGTGTTTAAAAGTTGGACAAAGGTGTTCAAAATTTGGACAAAAGTGTTCAGATTTGGACTTAGGTGTCCAACATTTGTAAGTCACTCATATTAGGTGGTCCCAAGTTGACAGCCCTGCATTCAGTGCACCAGAAGTAGAAAATGAAGTGACAATTTTGCAAAATTTTGATGAGTTTTCACGTTCGAATTGTAATAAAGACCTTAGATCAGGTATTACATGTATATTGAGTTATCTTACTGTACTTCTTGTTTGTTTGTTTATATTCATCTGTACTAGGTGCTTTGATGCCACCTTTGTTTAGTCTCTGGTGCTTGTTTTTCACATTGTGCTGCCACTTGTAAGTTTTACACTTATGATTTGTAGAAGTCTTTTTTTTTTAAATTATACTTAAAATCCTTATCTATCTATCTCTAGTTGAACTAACGTATGTGTTTTTAGATTTTAAAATCTTTTGCTTTTTATGATAAAAGCTCTGAATAAATCGTTCAGTTTCCTGTTGATTTTGTTGGGAAGTTTTTGATTTTCTCCAGCTTTCTTCTAGGCACAAAAGCTTTCGAACAGAAAACGTTTGTGCCTAGCTCATCTTAAAAGAAACGGCTGGCATGTATTGTTAAATCATCAATAGAGATACATGTAGGATCCTTATTTCAACAAAGTAACATATATGTAATTTGAAGAATGTACTTCACCACCAACTGATATTCGATCAACGCAAAGTGAACAAACAACTTAATAATCAGCCTTACTTATAGTAAATAATTTGATTTCCTCCAACCAGATGTATTTGTCACTCTCATCCTGAGGACGTCAAACATTATTTCTAGAATTACTATAGCCTATGCCTTTGATTTTTGCAGATGACTGGACTAGATATTGATACCTGTCATCTCATAGAAATGGCCTGCATTGTGACCGATGGAAACCTTCAAACAATTGCTGAGGTGAGGATATATTTCTTGCAGTCTGCTCAAGTACAATAACTATTTTGATATATTACTTTCTGTTCTCTATGGATAGTCAAGTTAAATAGGCAAGATCACCCAAAACAGATGAAAAACAGATAAAAGATGATTGCATTAACATACCTGTGTACAATGGTACATGTATTTGCCACCTTTACCACAGAAGATTTACCTATGTTCAAAAGTGAGAAAATAGAAGACATCAAAGTCGGAAAAATATTTTTTTATTTTGTTTATCCTGTAAATTTTGGGGAAATAGGCCACTAAAAAAATTTCCTCCCCAGGAAAATTTGAAATATAAAAGTCCAATGATTAAAGCTTACAGCAGCCATGTATTGATTGCACATAGAACTTAGCATCACATGTATGTTATGATGATAGTATTTAATAGTACTGTATGATATATTGATGTTGCAGGGTCCAAACATCATTATCCACCAGTCTGATGAGATCTTAAATTCGATGAATGAATGGTGCATTGAACAACATGGACAGGTGAGATATTTGAATTAGGTTTTAAAAAAAATTCTGACAACAGGTAAAACTAATGAAAACAACTTATCATGATGGAAACACGTGCAAAACAATATATAGGTGAATTTGCAATAAAACAATTGAAGAAAATGGCATGTTGCCTATTGGTAATAGAACACCTGTTAAGCATCTTTTTGGGGCGATATTAATACTGTAACAATGATTGACTAAAACTTTTCAACAACATGCTATTTTACACCATGGTTATTCAATCCTGTGTTAATGTTGATGTGAAAAGGTCAGTTCTTCCCATTGCGCGTGTGTTAAAACACGAATATACCATGAGCACATGCTTTGAGGATCCGCGTTGTTTGAACCTACCGCCGAGCACACTTATACATTAAGACCCGTTACACAGTCATGATACCGCCGAGCAAGCTCATTGCATCATCGGGTCTGCTTTACCCCCGTGCATTGGGCCTTGAATCACAACATTCTCATATATCACACTTTAATATTTTTTCAGTCTGGTCTAACCCAAGCTGTGAGGGACAGTAAAATATCTCTCCAACAAGCAGAGATGGAGATGCTTTCATTCATACGTCAGCATGTTCCTGAAGGCAAATGTCCACTGGCTGGGAACTCCATTCATGCTGATAAAAAATTCCTTGATAAATATATGCCACAATTCATCAATCATCTTCACTATCGAATTATAGATGTCAGCACCATTAAAGAACTCTGTAGGTAAGTTGGCAATGTTGTTTATGGCTATGCAGCCTCGCAGGCAGACTGCAGTGAGCACTATTCTTATGCCCCAGTCATATTTGATCTATGGCAACTGTATGCCGGCTGCAGCTTCCCAAAATTGAGAGAAATATGCATCACAAAACAGGGATGTGTACTATTATATGTACATTTTCTATATAGATTTTGTGAGGCTACATCAGCCGTACTGCCACCATTCAGTAAATGTGACTGAGGCTGTAATAGTGTTGTTAAATTGTGGTTACTCTTTTGATTTCCAGTTTATACCTCAGATTTTTAGTCACATTTATTGATCCAGTGTGTAATTCACCTCATACACCTTTGATCAAAAGATCATTCTGTTCAAGTTACCACACCTCAAGTCTAGTATATTATAGAGTATAGATGGTACTGACTGTAAAAAGGAAGTCTAATTTAGTTTTACATTACACCGTAGCTTTAAATCAGTTTTTGTTGTTTATATTTTTTATTCAATTTTAGATCATAGCTATATCCCTAGTTTAACTTGTTATCTGTTTCATTCAATTTCATTCATCATTTGTCCACCATTTCGCCAAACTGGATTTACTATATTTTTGTTACTTCAGGAGGTGGAACCCGCAAGAGTTTGAGAATGCACCAAAGAAAGCAAACACCCATAGGTGAGTTTCAGGATTTTAAAGAAACTCAACAAATGTTGCTTACCAATCTGGATATCTACATTAATTTTACAGAAAATGAAAACATAGATATGAAAATCCTCAGTTTTTCTGAGTTTTTTTCATCATAATATGGACATTTTCACATATTGGACTTTTAAATCTCCATATTTGATCAGCTATCTCAAATCTAAGAATCATCCCATATATGTATTTTCTTGCAGAGCCTTGGATGATATCAATGAAAGCATCAAAGAACTGATGTATTACAGGAGGACAATCTTTAAACAAAACCCAGGGGAGCAAAGCAACATGTGACTTTATGGGAGAACTCTCCTAGAACAGGACAGAGTCAACCAGTGTTGGACCAAGTAGGGTTTCAAGAGAACACCAATGGATGAACCAAAGCAATATGCTTATAAATCATATACCATGCAATTTACAATATACAACTTATTTTACTATTGCAAGTAAATGAGCTGCAAATGGCCAATAACGCAGATGCGAGTAGGTAGTTACCAGATTCACCACCAGGTGGCTCGTTCGGGTCAGATAGCATGGCGTGTATAGGAGAAAGTTCCCTTAAACTTAAATCACATCTGTTTTAATGATTCAATTTTCATATAACCCTTATGTATCTAATAGTTATGCAAACTGAAATATGTCCAGTAAAAGAAAATGTTATCTATCAAATACAAGAAAAGATATTTCACTTTTTGTGATTTTGTATCATGGGGTCTATGGGGAATCAACCCGAACAAGAAGTCACATTTTCAAAAAAAATTAAATTTTCAAAGTTGATAAACAATTTTCGAAACCATATTTTGAGATGTACTTTTACATGCAGATTTCAAATATGACATCACTTTGACTGAATTTTGAATATTTAATGACGTAAATAAAGATTATTTCTACTCGCACCTAGTCTATTGCAGATCGATAAAGATTGATATGAAATGCAATTTTTGAGTAAACATCAATATATTTACCTGCTACGATCCTATTTAAGAAATGCCATTAAAAGCTAATATATTTACAAGGTAAGAAGATGATTGAAGAGTTTTCCCAGAAGTTGTGAAATTACAACTGGCACAATGCATTAGAAGACAGAAACATTCCAAAATATTTGAAACTTATTCATTAAATCGAAGCTGTACTCTTGCTTGAAGTGTCATTGTTCATACTAGTGTATGGAATACATGTAAATGCTCAATAGATAAGGTTTTGAATTAGATTTTATTTCTCAAAAATGAATTGCATAGTCTTGCATCATGAATTAGTGCACCCTATATACATGTACAGCTTTTACATGGTATTGTATGAAGATATACATTCTGCTTTTTATCGCACTTTGAAAAAGTGCTATATTGTCGTCGTCTTGTGCTGTTGGGCGGGCGTGCGGGCGTTTGGGCGTGCGGGCGGGCGGGACATAAACCAAATCTTGTCATCAAATTTCCAGGATAACTGCTTACCTGTTCAACTTGAAATTTTTACAGATGCAAGAGCAGACTAGTGCCAAGATCTGATTAGGTTAAGGGCATGCTGGGTAAACTACGTGGTGGCCATTTTGAATTTTTCAACAAATCTTGTCATCAAAATTCCAGGAAAACCACTTATCCGTTCAACTTGAAATTTTTACAGATGCAAGAGCAGACTATTGCCAAGATCTGATTAGTTTTTGGGTATGCTGGCTCGATTACATGGTGGCCATTTTGAATTTTTCAATTTGGCGGCCATTTTGAATTCTTCAACTTGCTCCAAATTGACCAAATTTTTTTTTTTAAAACATCTACAAGTTCTCAGAAGTTCAAATCTGACCTTAGATTTCAGATTTGACCTTTCGTTGACCTTCAGTGGCCTTGAAAAGGTAAAAAATTTGATTTTCTAAATTGATCTTTTGGATTTAAATTTAGGTCAGCTAATTACAAAAGACCTACTGAGGTCTGAAAAAGTGACACTTTCAAGGTCGAAGGTCATCAAATTAGGTCACAAACAATGTTATCTAAATTTTCCCAAAGTTCAAGACTACAAATAAATTCTTGTCATCAAAATTGCAGGAAAACCGATAACCTTGTCAACTTGAAATGTTTACAGATGCAAGAGCAGACTAGTGCCAAGGTCTGATTAGGTTTTGGCCATGCTGGGTAAATTGCATGGTGGCCAGTTTGCTCTTCAAAGTGCGATATTTATCACTGTGTGTCTTGTTTAGTTTTTATATCGCCACCAGATGTTTAAGTCTCCATTTTTTTTGTGGACGACATTCGGTGGCTGGTGTTTGGCATCTGTAACAAAGGGTAGGTGGTGACATTTTGCATGTTAATGCCTTGTCTAGTTTATGGTATGTCACCGCCAGAACTGGTGACATATTGTTATAGTATCCAACTTTTTGTGAATGTTAAGTTTGTACTCCAGCAATTTTTGCAATTATGTATTTTTTGACAGCTGCACATATGTATAAAGAATTTGAATCATAGTTAATTTGCTATTTTCTAAAATCAAGGGCTACATTTCTATAATAATGGCATTTTGCAATTTGAAAGAACAAGTTTTTATTTTTGTTATTTTAATGTTATTATTATTATTAATGATTTTATTTCACTTATTGAAAACAATATAAACAATTACATATAAAAGCATACCAATCGCCATGTGGCATTACAGGTTGCTTTGATTAAATTAAACATAGTTTTCATATGGCTTTAAATATCACAAAACAGGAAGTAAGTAAAATATTGTAAATAGAATAGATAAATATTGGAACGTCGAAGGTACGATTTTTCTTTTCTCTTATTTCACTCGTTGTAGGCAGATTTAATTGCTCACTTACATGTAAGTTACATAAACGGTATGGGTTAAAAGTGCAGATCTTAACTGTTTTTCGAAATACCGTTTATGTAACTTAAGTGAGGAATTAAATCGACAATTCTGTTGTGTTCTGAACTATTTGTTCGCAAATATGTACATTTTCTTAAACATATGATACTGATACACGTTTGTGATCAAAATGTCGTGGGAATTCTGCCTACAACGTGTGAAATAAGGAAAAAAGAAGAAAAATCGTACCTTCGACGTTCCAACATTTTGTTACCGAAACGAACCAGCGTAATGCTTTTTTTTATGATTTAATGATTTTATTTCACTTATTGAAAACAATATAAACAATTACATATAAAAGCATACCAATCACCATGTGGCATTACAGGTTGCTTTGAATAAATTAAATCATGTGACTTTAGATATCACAAAGCATAAAGAAAGTAACATATTGTAAATCAAATAGATAAACATTGGAAGTATTTATTTTATTTTATTCACTAGCGTAATCGAGTGGATCACCAGTGATAGTGAGCAATAATGTCAACTAAGTGTGCCATAATATCTCGTTATTTCAAAGCAATTTACAAGGTACCCTTTGCATTTGTTCGACTTCACTTCTTAAAAGAGAGCTTCGTCTATAACTCGTTTATAACTAGACGCTGCGCGCAGGGTATTTACAAGGAGTTCTGAACTGCAAGCTCGACTGAAGTTCATTTCAACATTGATTAAAAGATGTTTTAGTTTTTGGTTTTGTATCTTTAAGAGAGGTTCATCTTAATTTACAAGATTTTGACTTCCGGGGTAGTTAAAGCATTGCCTTCCACTGTGGTAGGAAATAGTCGAAACGTTCAAATCTTTGTGCAAGTTCACTATTAGGCCTAGGCCAGCCAGCATAATAGATGACTTCCCCACCAGACAACCAACCTGCCCACCAAGAGAAACTCCCGGTTGACATAATAATGTGGTCACAATGTGACAGAATTGCGAGATCTTCTCCAGGCGAATGGCCAATTGAAAACGTCGCACTTGAAGATCTGATATTGATTTGGGCCCAGAATATATCATCAGAACAAACAATAAAATGGACGTATTTGAACTTAGTCCTGAAATACTCCATCGCTTTCTGAAAATAGTGTTTGGGTGCAACGACGTATCCCTTGTTAGGGTTTAGACTTTCAGTGTCCGCCATATCTGTTCTCCGAATATGTATTCCAATTAAAGTTACATGGTTATCCCCACGCCTCTTTGTCATGTCCCTTGTGCCGTTAGTGATTTCGTCTTTACCATGCATGTCTTTCCGAACTTCGTCAATAAATGCCAAGGCTAAAGTATCAATCGACGAGTGAAATGTAAATTGCTTTTTCAAATCTTTCTGAATTTCCACCAGGTATTTCCACGATTGAAAGTAACAACAAAGCCGAATATTTGTATTTGCTGGAACAATTTTCATAATTCCCACATCATATACAGATGACTTATTTTCATTCAAATTAGTTACAGGAAAAGAATTATTATTCTCTTTGTGTGGTAAATTCCCCGATCGGTCAATATTGAATATTCCGTCTAAGGTTTCATTTGGATAAATTGGCGTCATATTGTTATGTTTTGCTACTGCGATTAGTGCTGCAAATTGGAACATGTTATTTCCCAGTCTGCCTATTCGATGGACGGTGACCCATCCTCTGCCAATCGCAGCCTTCCTTTGACTGACACCTGAAGAAGTGACTAATTTATCATCGTTTATTGGTTGTTGGATTTCAATAGTATACTTTCCATATTTCAATAGGCCACCATATTGTCTTGTGTCATTCAGCTTCATAACGACTGTTGCAATATCAATTTTTTGGTTTGCTTTCCAAATGAATGTTGTCAATATAATCCAAATTGATATCATAACCACGATCTACAGAAATGACTGCTTCGAAATAGTATTTAATTTATAGCACTGGATTGCTGAGATCATTTTAGACGAGCATTTCATGCGTATTCAAACGTTATAATCTTAAAGGTGGAGTTGACTTTACAATACCGTGAAAATGTCATTGTATTTCTCGTTTATTGATTGTTGAAATTCATGCGGAGGCTATTGGGTTCACTGATCTCAGATTTCTTTTTTATGATTTCCATATTTCAATACGTCACTTGGTTGTCTCATGTTATCTTTCAACTTCATAATGACTACACGAGATTAGCATCTATTCATGGGTCTTGTCATATCACGTATGCTCCCCCTGTGAAGTCAGCTCTGTTTTAAGTTTTTTTTAGAAATTCATAACTGGCTATGGCACTATTTTATTTTTTTTTTCAATGAATTTTCTGCAATGCCCATATCATATTCATTGTAAGTTAGTAATATAAGCCTCATATTAAAAGTGTATAATTATCATGTTACTCCAGGACAGTGCAACCTTCCAAGATGGAATATTGTCATGACATAACACCGACGCACATTCGGCTAATTGATTTCATTGATTTTAGCCTAAAGCGAACGTCGCTACGTACAATATTTCACAGCGATGACAATCGTTAATCTTTTTGTAAGGGAGGGGTGGGGGGTCGAAAAATTTTTGGCCCCTAAACAAAGATTTGGCCCAAGTTTTATCCATTTTGGCCTATTTTTGATAAATTGGCCTAAAATTAAAAAATAAGGCCCATAAAGCCCACCAATGAGGTCCTACAAAAATTTCTGGCCCCATCTTAGGGGGAGGGGGTGGGCCCTATGTGCCCCCGCCATTGAAGGGTATGTTTATTGTTTAACAAAGCACAAAGGGTGATCCTGAAATTCCAGAGGGAAAAGAAATTTAGAAAATATTTGGGCCCAAATTATGAAAATAATGCCCAAAAAACAATGCCCAGTAATGCCATTTTTTTTGTAAATTGCCCAATTATATGGAGGAAGAGCAGTTTTTCCTTCAAGAAAGCAAAAAGGTAGGGCCACATGTTTTAGGAGATATCGGGGAGGGGGGGGAGGGCTGGCTACGAACCTGTTTTAGGACATGTATCCTGAGATCATCGGTAGAGTTGCAGAGTTGGATCTGTCTGCAATGCAAACACGATGGACGAGCTACAAAAGGAAAGAGGCCATCAGAATTTTGAACAAGATCATCACGTTGGTGTGACTGGGTGGGGGGAGGGGTATGTGTACTATCCCAGGCTGAGGCCCAGGAATACGTTAGAAATGTTTAAAAAGTCCCCTAGTGTACTGAGTTGGTAATGCGTGGTGTATACATGTATATTAATAATCTTAATCTTTTACTATATTACTATATTACTTACATTGAATAAGACTGATTTTTTATTAATGACTTTATACCCGGGCCTCAGATCCCAGGTGTATTTTGATGTATCCCTTCCCAGAATTATGAAAACGAGCGAAAATATTATTCAATATAATATTTTATTGACGAATTGATCTTATTACTTTAACATATTTATAACCGTTCAACTCAAAATAATTCGATTGAGAAAATTAATTACTGTTGGTGGCAATTACCCAAATGCGAGTAGGTAGTTACCAGTTTCACCACCAGGTGGCTGATTCGGGTCAATTAACGTGGCAGGTATATAAGAAAGTTCCCTCAAACTTGAATATTATCAATTTAAGTGGCTCAATTTTCATATAACCCTTATGTGCCTGTACTAATGAAAATATGTCCAGTAAAGCAAAATATTATCTGTCCACTAAAAGAAAAGATATTTCATTTTTTGTGATTTTATAGCATGGGGTCTTTGGGGAATCTCCCCGAGCTAGAAGTCACATTTTCAAAAAAAATCAATTTTTCAAAGTTGATAAACACTTTTTAAAACCACATTTCTAGATGTAATTTTACATGTAGATTTCAAATATGATATTACTTTGACTGAATTTTGAATTTTTAATGACGTAAATCAAGATTATTTCTACTCGCATCTGGGTTATTGTAACATTGTTATGGTTAATATTTGGTGAATGATCATTACATGTATGATAATTGCATTTTGGCACATGCCATTTGTCACTAGTGCATCACAAATATAAACATTAAACAGCTCAGTTGACATTCTTAATCTCAAGCGCAGAGTCTATAGTTAAGAAGGCGGAGCTCTCTTTTAAGAAGTTAAGTCGAACGAAATAAATTAATATATTAAATATATTATTCTATTATGATTGTATTTCTGCATCGTTGTTAGCCCCAGTGGAAGGTGTAGTTGGTTTTAATTTAGTCTTATGTAGCGAGTCCGATTACCAATCGGCACTTCAATGTATAAACGAAATATAATGTTTTTAGTGCAGTCAGAATGTGGGTTTCGGCGTGCGTTCAGAGGGATTTTATGAGACATAATTTTTCATGTTACTACTATGATTATACATATTTATATGGATTATTAGGTCTTAGTTTTTCAGCTTTTAGATTTTGTGGCCATTTTACCCCCATGGGCTAAAATTTGGACCCCTACTATAAGATTGGGCAAGAACTCAAAAAATACTCAGTGGAATGTTTCCAAATTACTAAATTATATTGGTATAGGCTAACTGAATATATGATAAAAATTTCATGTCACATGGTCAAGTGGTTACCATGGAAATGGATAAAACATGCCCTTCGAGTGTCAATTTTCAGGCCAATTTTTCAGGACTGACAGAGTCATTTCATGCATATTTTGTCACCAATGTGTTAGGAAGGGTTAAAATGTAAAAAGAAAACTTCTATAATATATTAGCAACAATTATATGTAAAGATCAGTCCACAAAACCTCAGATTTTGGCCTTGTATTGGTCCATGACTTATACAGGGGTCTATTTCATAGACTCAAGCTCCCACATTGGATGGATGCTATAACTTTTGAAATAATGGAGATACAGGTCTCATTTTTTCAGATCTTCATAAATGGTTAGTTTTAAGTATTTTATTATACTTTGGGAGCTGACATGTGATTGGTTGCCATGGTAACCAGGGTTTTAGGGAAATTCTGACCCCCACATTGGATGGATGCTATAACTTTTGAAATAAGGGAGATACAGGTCTCATTTTTCCAGATCTTCATAAATGGTTGGTTTTGAGTATTTTAATACATGTTTGGAGCTGACATGTGATTGGTTGCCATGATAACCAGGGTTTGAAGGAAATCCTGACCCCGACATTGGATGGATGTTATAACTTTTGAAATAAGGGAGATTCATGTCTCATTTTTTCAGATTTTTGACAATGATTGATTTAAAGTATTCATTTAGACTTTGGGAGCTGAAATTTGATTGGTTACCATGGAAATCAGGGTTTTATTGAAATTCAGACCTCCACAATTGATGAACACTATAACTCCTATATACAGGCAGATAAGATATAATCTTTTCAGATGTAAGATAATAATAATATGACGTGTGTATTGTATTAGACTTTGGAAGCTAGGATTTATTTGTCTGCCATGGTAACCATGTTTCATTGTCATGGTAACTGCTGTTTTCGTTTTCAGATTCACCTTTATTCTAGATAGGTCAATACATGACATAAAATACCAAATTGCTCAAAGTTACCGTTTTATTCTTCATTTTTTTCATTTTTTTTATTTTATATGATTTACATGCTTATGACTCAATAATACTAGAGATGCAAACATTATTTGGCTAGATAGATAGGTCAATACATGACATAAAATACCAAATTGCTCAAAGTTACCGTTTTATTCTTCATTTTTTTCATTTTTTTTATTTTATATGATTTACATGCTTATGACTCAATAATACTAGAGATGCAAACATTATTTGGCTCATAAAATATCAAATACTAGTGAACAATACATGTATGTCTGACAATATTGCCTTATTCCATACGACTAGTTCTTACAAAAGCTCGGACTCCTAATTTGTTCATTTGTACTCATCATTACTGTTTTCATTTAGCACAATTTCCTCTTAACATCAATTTCTGTTGGAATGAAGGATTGTTTTGACCATTCTGGAGATAAGGATCCTCAGGGGATATAGTCCATGCATGCAGTATTGGACTTGGCAGAATGGGTTAAGACTGGTCCTTGTGGGTTCACTGCATATAAAATTTGGCTGCGATCCTAGGCTGAACCCTCAGATATCAATATGTTCCCATCCAATCTGTCAAATTTGAATGTGTTCTGATATCAACCAAAATAATGCCCAAATGCCATACCAAATGCCCAAATATAGGACCAGTGCCATACCAAATGCCCAGATATGAAAACATGGCCATTTAAAATTTCTAATGCCTCGAGAAGGCAGATCTTTGAGGAAAACAACCAAAAACAACCACACATTAATAAGGATATACTAGATCAATGCCATACATGTACAACAAGTGAGGGGCAACATACTTTTCACGACCATTCCCTGATCCTAAAATCCTCAAGGTTTATATAAAGTGAACTCCTGGGAGACAGGGGGTAATATTTCCACTTCCAAATATAAATTTTATCATCCATCCTCTTCAAATGTTATAATGAGCAATCATTACAAGGTGGAAGAGTTCATCATTTAATTCATTGCATTATATTAGCTGCTATGAAAGCAGTGAAGGACCAATCTTGAAAGATGGGAAGAGTTGAAATGTCAACACCTCCATAAGTGAGGGAAGCACTGTTCTGTTTTGGAGAATAGTATCTTATGTGAAACAGCTCATATTGTTATCTATTGATGGAAGTTACAAATATAGTTTTGTAATTCTGCTGTACTTTTACTGGTGAACAATTCAACTTTGATTTTTTTGTGTCAGGAATTTCTATATTGATTCCTATTATGAAGAAAAAAACCTTAAGAAGCTCAACTGATGTGAACTCTGTCCCATTAGGAGCTCATTAGATGTCAGAAGCTCAACCCAACCCCTGTAGCTGCAAACCTAGGACCAAGTCCTGTGTGAAGCTATATTAGCCTTCAATGCGTTTACTGGATCAGATTACTCCAGTGCCTTTCTGAACAAAGGAAAAGTAAATCAACTGAAATGGAAGACAAACGATTCTTAAAGTTGTTTTCTTCAATAGGAAACAATATAGGAATTCCCGCTACCATAAAGTCGAAAGTTGAATTGTTCACCTGCAAAAATAGAGCAGAAATAGAAAAAAAACTGCCACTAATAGATTATGAGATGAGCTGTTTCCCATGAGATACAAAACAGAACAGTGCTGCCCTCACTTATGAAGGTGTTGACATTTTCTTTCACATTTGAAGAGGGTAAATTATCAAACCTATGTATGGACACATTCCCACCAGCCTAAACCCAGCTCTACCATTATGCCCAACACTGCATGAATGAACTGTGAATTCCCTGACAAATCTTTAACACAAGAATGGTCAAAAGAATCCTTCTTTCCAATAGAAATTGTTGATATTTTTAATTAAGAGGCAATCGTGGAAGATGAAAACGATAATGATGAGTAAAAACAAGTTGGGAGTCAGAATATGTGTGAGAACTAGTAGAATGGAATGAGGCTATACTGTCAGACATACAGGATAAATTGCTGAAATTAAGAGTAAAATGATAATTTTGATCATTTTGGTATAACATGTTGTGAATTGAACATTCTCAAATGAAGGTAAGAATGAAACAAAAAATTAAGGGTACCATGACGACGAAACATGGTTACCATGGCAATCAAGTAAATGCTAAGCTACAAAGTCTAATTCAATACACAAACCTAATTAATTTTTAAGATCTGAAATGATAATATCTGTATCTGCTCAAATTCAAACGTTAAAGCATTTATCAATTGAGGAGGTCCAAATTTCAATAAAACTATAGTTACCATGGTAACCAATCAAATTTCAGCTCCCAAAGTCTAATTTAATATTTATAATCAATCATTGTCTAAGATCTGAAGTAATGAGACAAGTATCTCCCTTATTTCAAAAGTTATAGCATCCATCAAATGTGGGGGTCAGAATTTCCCTAAAACCCTGGTTACCATGGCAACCAATCATATGTCAGCTCCCAAAGTATAATAAAATACTTAAAACTAACCATTTATGAAGATCTGAAAAAATGAGACCTGTATCTCCATTATTTCAAAAGTTATAGCATCCATCCAATGTGGGAGCTCGAGTCTATGAAATAGACCCCTGTATAAGTCATGGACCAATACAAGGCCAACATCTGAGGTTTTGTGGACTGATCTTTTCATGCAATTGTTGCTAATATATTATAGAAGTTTTCTATTTACATTTTAACCCTTCCTAACACATTGGTGACAAAATATGCATGAAATGACTCTGTCAGTCCTGAAAAATTGGCCTGAAAATTGACACTCGAAGGGCATGCTTTATCCATTTCCATGGTAACCACTTAACCATGTGACATGAAATTTTGATCATATATTTAGTAAGCCTATACCAATATAATTTAGTAATTTGGAAACATTCCACTGAGTATTTTTTGAGTTCTTGCCCAATTTTATAGTAGTGGTCCAAATTTTAGCCCATGGGGGGTAAAATGGCCACAAAATCTAAAAGCTGAAAAACTAAGATCTAATAATCCATATAAATATGTATAATCATAGTAGTAACATGAAAAATTATGTCTCATAAAATCCCTCTGAACGCACGCCGAAACCCACATTCTGACTGCACTATTTCAATATGTTCTCATATCACATTGGGCAACAAAGTCGTCGTATGATAAATATGGGTATCCAATTTCGGCTAGTTTTGATTTTGGGTTTCCATTATATATTGCGGCGTGAATCGTTTTATTGCCAGTTCTTCCCTTCCAATCCCGGAGTAATTCATTAAATGAGGCAACGTGTGCAGTGTCAGTGTTGGGTTTGTTGTAAAGGTCACCTTTTTGTTGATAGCCATCGAAGAAATAATTAGGATTATTTTTCGGCGTTTCGTTTATTTTGAGCACTATTCCTTTAACTGATTCTGCTTCTTTTATCATTTCGACGTAGTTCATATCAATCCCTAACAATAGGATATGGTTATAGCCGTAAAACAGCGCGTACCGCACGGCAATCGCCCCAGTTGATATCATATTGATGTTCTTTAGTATGTGAGTCCCTTTCTGGCGTCGTCGATCCTCCAGAAAATCAAGCAAGCGGTTATTCTTGAGCTCCTCCATTTGATTCAATTTTGCGTCTCTGAGAAAGAATTTTTTCATTTTATGCTTTCGAGCGTTTTTAATCAAGTCAACAATTTCTGTTTTATGATCACGCCCCACAACAACGTCGAAATTGGCGTAGTATGTTGGCCACCAATTGATTTTCTGCCAATATCGAAACGCCAAATTCATTCCAAGCGTGTCAATACGGGGATACTTTTTCAAAGCGTTGAAATCAAACCCTCTGAGGGATGGCCCATTGCCGAATATTATGATACTCTTTAGCTTCCCCTCTGGCGCTCTATCTATATCGCCCATGTTGAATTTCATGACTTGAAACTGTTTTGTTTCTTCTTTCTTTTCCGGAAGGCGGTAGAATAAAAAGAAAACATTTACTACGATTACTACGCTAACCACAATTACGCCCGCTATTTGTATTCGTCTCTTCATGATCTTTTCCATGGATGTAACGTCTAGCAGGTTGTGTATGCGTTTCAAAATTTCACCTGATGTTCGATCTATCAGTCTATATGCCCCCTTCTTCTATAATGTATAGTTGTAGCTGAAACAAAATAAACAGAGTTACAATATAATTCGCTTGTTTGCCATGCATGTCAACATTGTTTGCAGAATATAAACTGAGGAAAGTTTCAGAGTTTGGATTAACAGTTTGATTTACTCAACACCAAACAGAAATCCCTTGTTTAAGAGTTCTTTCTTTGTCCAGGTTCATACTTAAAAAATACATAAAATATAGTCCAAGTTTTTAGACAAATGGCGCAGGCCCGTAGCCAGAATTTGCCAAGGGGGGGGGGGGGCTCATTTTTGAAGAATTCCAGGGGGGTCACTTCAGACAACTCTGGTTCAATTATGGCCAAAATTACTTGGAAAGTGCTCAGAATGGTGAAAAACTGCATGATTTGAAAGAATTTTTGACGTGCCTGTGACGTTCAACTTGTTTAATATCCATGATCACAGTGACAATTCATGTTTAAATAAAGTCTGAAGCTACAACAATTTTCGTTAAGATAAATCGATTCATATTTTATCCAGATATTCTAATGTCTTCCGAATTGGAGTCCCATGTTAATTTCAGGCTCACTCCATGCATGATCTACAATTCAGTTTTGCACTTGGGTCATTGGTTTTGGACAAAGAGTACACAAATGTATTTAGATTATTAGCTGAGGGTAGATACTTTTTTCTAGCCTTTGTATGGAAATCTAGAACATTTAGCGACATACCTTTTTAAATTGTACATGAATGACATTTGTATATTTCAGATTATTTAGTTTTTTGTGCAATAAGCCTATGTCCTCTTGTAATTTAAAGAATTTCAGCCATGTTAATCATTTTGAAAATACTATGGCAGAGAAGCAGTCTATATCCAATAGACTGAATGTCCTGAGAATTAGTCTATTGATCATTATGTCTCTCCTGTGGGAAAAATAGGAAATTTCCTGCACACAATTATCAATTTTAGGAAACTTCACTTCCAAAAATAAGCATTATAACAATTCAATTAAGTACTAAAGTACAATTAAATGCTATAAAAAGTAACACAGCATATTGTCAAATGGAAATAAAGCTAGGGGAAGTAACAAATATGCAAATTTATTTACTCAATCGGCCAATTTGAATGGCACTCCCTATGTAAACAAAAACTTTTCAATCCCAAATTTTAACATATGTGAGCTATAGTCTGAATATTTTCATTCCAAATTTCAAAAAAATTCAGACTAGAGGATATAGTCTAAGCAGAGAAGCATCAAAATATAAGAGACCACATACTTTATTCGCCAAACTAGAAGCAATCCAAGATATACAAACTGAAAATTGTAGACCATGTATGGAATGAGTTATGTGTTCCTGAAATCAATATATGATAACATACAGTATGACCCATTTTAACTTCTGAACATGCGGACCTACCTTTACAGTGACACACAATCGTTTCTTCATTGATAATTAGATATTAGTTGTTAATCTTGGAAACTCTTACTCTTGTAATACAGAAGTTGAAATAAAAATATCCCATGTGTGTCACAGAACCGAGCAGAACACATCGTGTGTGTAATGTGTGTGTCTTTGACCGCAGTAGGACAGGTCAACTATAAACAGTTCCCTTTTAAATCAGGTAAGTACTCAGTTTTCAATCAGAATAACTATTGAAATAGTTCATATTAATACCTGGTATATCGGATTATACATAACTGATCCTTCAGTTAAATTTTGACGCCCATTGTTTAAATATTGAACTATGTTTACATTGGTTATGATTCTTGTACTGTTTAGGAAGTGCCAATTTACAATTCCGTGGAGGCGGGTGAGGGATATGACCAGCAAAAATGTTACTGAAAAGTACAGATACTATTCGAACTAAATGTTTACTGGAACAGTGAAAAGTATGTCCATAGCAGCATTATGTTCTCTTTGTATCCTTTTTATTTATCTTGTGTTTTCCTCACCTTTGAAACATCTTGCTTCGTCCAGCTTTGGATCTACCCTCTGTCCCTGATGTAACGTAGTACTGATTGGGATTCGCCTATGATTGGATATTACCTGACTTATTCCAGACACTGACTATGTACCTGATTTGCCCTCACACCTTCTCTAGCCTTGCTATTCCATCTATAATGAATATACCTGTATTTGAGCCTGTCTATTGACTTAATAGGAATTTCATTCTCTGACACTTAAAATACCACAATAAACTGAAAACCCAAGTAGACATACACAATTGTGAATTGGTATTGTAGATACGTTATTCGGACTCTTTTTATGAAAAACACAGGGGCTGTACCAAATTAAGCGTGACAGTTAAACGCGCGGGGTAAGATACAACACGAGAGATGAGTGATGCGTTTCATCGTTTCAGAAAGATGTAGTCTAGTTTTTAGATATTTTTATCTGTAAATGTCTATAAGATTCGTTTTGAAATCAAGCTACAGTAAAATTTTAAATGTTTGGAACTACTTTCAATTGGATTTAAAAAAGTAAGCTAACAAATGACTATATTGCAACAGTACATAAAAAGATAGAAACATATGTATTTGTCCTTACTTTTTTATATTTCAGATAATTATATATAATGTGCAGTAAAGCTGTGGCCTTTTGTAATTTAAGGAGTTTCAGCCATGTTAATTTTTCCGAAAATAACATATACCTTTATACCTCTAAATGATACAATCTTTGAAATTTTAAAAAATTGTCGGAAACAATAATGGCTGTAGTAAAAAAGAAAATAGATTTTCAATTCCGTTTTTGCATTTTTTTTCTTTTTTAAGAATGATATCAATTTTTTAAAATTGCATCATTTAGAGCAATATATTGGGCACATTTTCTGAAAAAGTAAAACGATTCTGTTCAGTGACCTTTCCTGAGCACCTACTCTTAGCTATTTTTCAGTCACATTTTCAGAGGGCTGAAAAGGTTATTTCATCATGTTTATGGTCATTCTGACCATTTCCATTGTGTTCTCGGTCATGTAAATGAAAAGTGGAACTAATTAAACTGACTGGAGGTCCAAACAGAAAACTGTTACCTTGGTTGAAAAAAATCAAAATCCAGCATGGTTTTGTCACTTTTTGTTTTGAAATTTCCTGTTAACTTCCATGTCACCTTAAAATGCCAATCGACAAATATCCATCAGTTCCTTATCATATGGAATTTGTGTCATAGAACAACAATGTCCTTACGTTTTAGAACTATAACAAAATAAAGTCAATCAACCAATATATTTAGAATATTTAGTCCAACTTGCCCCACGTGTTTATGCTCCGGTTCTTGTCAGGCTAATAGGGAGTTATAATGTGTAGTACCAAGTTTACACTAGTATGGAATGTATAGGGTACCAAGTTTACACTAGCGGATTAGACGAGATGATTTTTATACGGATCGAAGCTGAGGCCCAGGAATAAATATAGTTTAAAAAGTCCCCTAGTGTACTGAGTTGGTAATGTGTGGTGTATACATGTAAATTAATATACTACATTACTATATTACTTACATTGAATAAGAATATAAGACTGATTTTTTATTAATAAGAATAAGACTGATTTTTTATTAATGACTGTATACCCGGGCCTCAGGATCGAAGTGTAAGTTTGATCAAATTCCACAGTTTCGTTACGTTGAGACAATTAAACCGTTAACTATTCACTTGATATCCATCGGGATTCATATCGCTGACTGCACACACATCATAAAAATTTCATTGGATGCAAATATCAACCCATGTCGGACCAGGAGTGAGTTTATTTCGTAAAATTACACTATACACTGTGGGGCTCTGTGGCTAGTCGAAATATGTTGATGCGGTCATGTACATGTATTGTAAGTGCTCGCGTACGTTTATAGGGAATGGGGTCATTGCAAAAATATACTAACAGCAAATCGAGGTTAGTGATTTCAGAGTTCCTACTTAACATCGGGTCTTGAAATATTGCATACATATTCAATATATATTGTATGACAAAATAGGAAAGTTACAGCTACTACATTCATGTAAGAGAGAAGATATTTGAATAACATTTCGTAAACGTAAGTCATCCGCCATTTTGAAATATCATCTAAGCATCTTGACATATTTCATATGGGAATTATGGGGCATACATAATGTGTATAATTTCGTATACATGCCCAACGTATTCCTTGGTATTATGTACATAAGTAGTCATCGAACATCTATGAGTACAACCATGTACTATTAAATAAAACATGAAGAAACAGAACTTACAAATTTCGTCTGCACCCTTATGACCGGATATAGTTTGAAAGGACTGCGCATGCGCATCTCATTATAAACGTGACGTGTTTTTGAAGCGTAAACATAGTTATGCGTTTTTCAAGTGTTATTGTGTTAATAAAGGTGTTTCGAAGAAAATTTAAGACAGTTATTTAACCATGCTTAACGCTAAACACAGGAAAAACGCTTGTCAAAAACGTAGTTCAAAATCAGTGTTAAAAATAAAACCCGTCGTGTTAAAAAAGTTCCTGTAATAACTCAACAAAGTGTTAAAATACAGAAAAGAAACACATTAACACAAATTGTAAATTAATGGACTAGATGCGAACTTAGAAATAATCTTGATTTACGTCATTAAAACTTCAAAATGCAGTCAAACTGATGTCATATTTGGAATCTTCATGTAAAATTACATCTAGAAATGTGGTTTTGAAAAGTTTATCAACTTTGAAGATTTAATTTTCTTTGATAATGTGACTTCTTGGTCGAGGAGATTCCCCATAGACCCCATGTTGTGAAATAACAAAAAGTGAAATATATATTTTCTTTTGGGGTATATTTTCTATGGGGTAAAAAGAAAGAAGTATTCTGGATTTTGAAGCCCTGTGATCGGAGGATGCAATACTATAGGCAAATGTAATCTAGCAAAATATACTGTATTCTCTGTAAATTTTCCTATACCATTATATTTTGCGCTTTCATTTTCTTAAACATAAAAAATGTCGCGGGAATTCTGCCTACAACGCGTGAAATAAGAAAAAAGAAAACCCATACCGTCGGGTTCCGACATTTTGTTACTGAAATGGACCATTTTAACATTTCTCCTTATTCTCAGGACTGTTACACGAAAATGATGACCTATCATTTCCGGCAACGGAGTATCGAGTTTGAATAATGGCTGCCAATCCTCCTTGGTCCGACATAATATTTCTATTTTCAATACTTTAAATAGATGTCGAACGTGAGGGATAAGAGTTAGTATAGCTATTGATCAGAATGAGCTACTATAATTCTTTGGTATTTCTTGATATCGGGGATTCCCTTAGCTTTCCCTACATGGTCTTACAAGCCTTACATGGATCAATCACATGACATTCAAAATGGCAGATAAGTATGTTGGATTCCTATATGGTCATGTAAGCCTTATACGGATCTATCACATGGATACCGCGTGACCGAGCAGGATTGGCTCCCAGGGACGCCATTCGATATTCTTTTCCATATATGGGTATCACGTAGTCATGTTGTGAATTCAAAATTCAATCAAGCATATCGACCATTCTTCTTGCAGCTGCAGAAATATACAGGAACGAATAGCAATATCGCATCACGTTGGAGATTAAAGTATAGGGAGTTTAAGCTTGCTTAAATCCCACTTGGGTAGCAACACAATAGAATTTGCTGTGGTTTATTTTTAAGAATGTATGGTTTTATCAAAAGGAAAGTGCATTATTTTTCTATTGTTTTTAAAGAATGTACACTTGGCAAGCTATCAAAAACAAGTGAGACATAAATGACCATTGACAGTTTTTGATAGTTTTCATTCCCTAAAAACAATATACAAAAATACATGTACCCTTCTCTTGTTACTGTGCATTCTTTAGAATAAAACAATTTATCAATTTTTGTTGCTATCTACATCATTGATCTTATCTTACTTACAAATATTCTGCTGTATTCAAATGCAATGTTCTGGACTGGACAGTCACCTGTAGTGCACTGAAGCTAGACTTATTATAGCCCACTCAGTCACTTACATCAACTCACACTCATGAGGTCAATGCAACCAACTTTTTTTGTTGTTACAATTAATTGGCTATATAACTACATGAACAGTCAACACAAAAGAAATAAAATTTTCCAGATTAGATCATTGACCATTTACCTGCAATATACCATTTACCTGTAATAAGAATGTGTGTGATTTAAGTAAGATAAAGCATTCGAATTCGATTTGATAAGAAATAATAACCTCAGGCCTTCGGCCTTCGGTTTATTATTTCTTATAAAATCTCATTCTTATGCTTTATCCAGTACATAATAGGGAGTTCAAGCTTGCATATAAAACCGAAACGCTAATTTATACGTCGTATGACCAATCACCCATACAAATGCATCGCTTAAATATTTTGTTCTTATTGTTGCAATAACTTTCCTGTTTAATGGAACGGATGAACTAAAAAATTATAATTCTAGTAATTTAACCTCACACTCATCATACTTTCAGTTACATAACGCATTCTCAATTATACAATTTTCGAATCTGTGCCGTTGTGGCTGCGTGCTATAAGAAGCCGAATGTTATCGGTATTTACAGGCTGGGCCAAAACCCGTCCACATTTCTACTTTGATTTTATAATTATCTTTTTGAAAATGCATGAATTCCGATAAAATGTGCACATAGGATGCAGAAATTACTTGCAATACGAAATATATCAATAATACCGTATACATATTAGTTGTTGAAATGGGATTAATTCTTCAGAGGGTTTTTGAATTGATTAAGGTAAACAGACACAAATGGTCTCTATGAAAATATATATTCTGAAATTATTTTCAGAAAAAGTTATATCAGAAGTATCACACGACAAATAAGTAAGATGAAGAAAAACTCATTCAACATCAAGAAAAGAGTGATTTGGAATATGAGCCTGTACAGGGAAAGCTATTCCGAGTACTTATAATTTGTTATAAGGAATATCAATCAGGTGCTTGAACCAACGCATCATTCCGAAACCCCCCAGAGATTTATCTATCGAATTCCAGGAACAATTGCAAAAGTAATTGCTGCATTTTCATCAAACATATTTTGAAATTAATTCATTATTACAATATTCTGTATATTATGAATTTTACATATTATAGTCGTCATTTTTAAGCGTGTATATCAAGCATAATGATGAAGTCTTTGGGTCTTAGCTTTTCTTGAGTTAAGCCATGGAATTGTGCTTCAAATTGATTTGAGTAAAGTGATCAGGATCAAGTACAATTCTAAAAGCGCGTAAAACATGTACCCCAGAGATGTTTTTTCATTCATTATTCATTGCATCTTGAGGGCTTAAAATAAACTCATTATCTTGCATCTAGTAAGTTTCCCAAATAGAAATCACCTCATCATACATAAACGGTAGATTTTTTGCCCTTGAACAAGCTTCCATGTAAAATATGATACATTGGTGAGCGAGACAATGTACAAAGTAACTCGATCCATGTACATTAAACACATCATTCAAGGCTCCATTCGGTTGCTGAAGCCATTAAAGATAACAAGACAACAGCTTTTGAAGATGAACACATTTACTGATCTGCAACATTTCTACTTTCTACAAGCATGTACCACAATTCACACTTGTGATCTAACTAAAGCTGGGTCATACCAATCCATCACCAATATGACAGACCTCCATTAAGCAGAAGGGATTGACCGAGTATAGCCGACAATGGACATCTACCTTGTTGATTGTTTTACATTCTTTTCGATGAAATATAATAAATGAGATTTATCGTCAGTGGACTTTAATGTTTTGTTAACAGTGCTGTCGCTGATGTGAATTCTTAATCTAAAAGTTGCTTAAAGGGACGTATTTTCACGACACATGATCAAATTGAGCCAAGTACAATTTAATCAATTTAACTAATATTTATGTTGAGCATATATATAGATGAGCTCCAATAATTTACACAGGCGGCGGATATGTTGCAATGTTAATAGTTAGTAGATAAATGAGCTCCACTAATATACACACGCAATGTTGCAACGTTAATACGTAGATTAATTAGCTCCACTAATTTACACACGCGGAGAAGATGTTGCAATGTTAACAGTTAGTAGATAAATGAGCTCCACTAATATACACACGCGATGTTGCAACGTTAATACGTCAACTAAGTTAAATGTTCAGTGGAGATGTTGCAACTTCTAAACTTCGTAGCAACGTTAATAGATTAATTAGCTCCACTGATTTACACACGCGGCGAAGATGTTACAACGTCAATACTTAGTTAAAAATGAGCTCCACTAATTTACACACGCGGCGAAGATGTTGCAATGTTAATAATTAGTAGATAAACGAGCTCCACTAAGTTAAATGTTTAGTGGAGATGTTGCAAGTTCTAAACTTTGGGAGATAAAAGAGTTTCAGTGATGCAAATTGATCGATTTTATAAAACGGTTTTAATGCGACAACATCCTTTAATAATTATTGTTATTTTGCTGGATTATTTTACGGTTAATGTAAATCGTAATGATAATTGCCTACTAGAATTAATAAATCTAGAATTACGGCAAGTGTATAGCAGTGCATTAATTCGACATTAACCAACAAAGTAAGACGTCGTTATCCAAGATGTAACTTACGATTATGAAATTTATTAGTATTGGAAACGCACGACTAAATCAACCATGATTATACAAACGGGTGAAACTTGGAAGACTCATAGGGTTGAATAGACCTTTATGATAGAATAGAGGATGTTGGATATCCTGGATGATTTTGAGAGATATTATTATGGACAAAACTTCAGAATTATGCAGTTTTTTCACCATTCTGAGCACTTTTTAAGTGATTTTGGCCATTTTAGGACCAAAATTGTCAAAAGTGAACCCCCCTGGAATTTTTCAAAAAATGACGCCCCCCCCTTGGCAAAGCCTGGCTACGGGCCTGCAACACATGGTATAATAAACTGTGTGAGCTCATATAAAACATGTTGTTGTAATCACTGTTGTAATCTCCATAGTGACATAAAATAGTACGCTAGTATAGATTAATCTTGTTCTATCAATATGCAGCACTATAAAGAAAGATGGTGCAAATTGTAACATCCATTTGAAAATTTAAACCTATCTATTTTGTGTTTACTGTATAATTAAGTACAATACTAGTATTCTTGCGAGATATAACTTAATCATAAATCTAGCCTTAATCAAGCTTAATTTGAACTCAGTTATAATGTCAGTTACGTGAAGTTAAAATTGGTGGATGATTCAGAATTAACGCAGGTCAAGGTTGTA